CTTTCACGTGGAGAGGCAGGTAATTTTGTAATTGATTCTTTCACATTGGCTGGTACACACACAATAGGACCATAGGACCATACTACATCCTTGTATTTGACCTTTTATTTTTCCCCACCTGATTTAAAAAAATAATAATTATCTATAAAAAATGATAACCCTTGTTTACTACATTTCATACAGCTTGTCAACCCCTCCCCCTTCTTTTTCCTTCCCATACGAATGCACTTACTCCAGCTGGTGGTACAATACCAGGAGGCGGTATCGCCTCTCTGATCCTCTAGTTCATGTGGTTTTTCAGTCAATATGGAAAGGATGCTGCAAGAAAATGAAAACTTTGAAAATATGCGGCAGATGTACTTGGCTCAGCGCCAGGAGGTAGCACAGAGAGCTCAGCAGAGGTTATTATGGGATAGAATTGGATTGAATGATTTTGATTAAAGCTGTGTTTTATACATCCAATCTTTCATCATGTGTTTCGTTTAATAATTCATTTGCAATTGATCCAACTTATTTCTTAAAAAATATATTGTAATGTTTACGTGTTAAATTCTTATTGATGTACTTTTACTGTAACAGTTATTCTCAACTTTTCTGTCATTTCTCTTGTAAGAGATTTTCATAATCCTCAGTACTCTGTATGTGACATTTTCATTTTTTTGCCAGATGTATTAAGTTTATTTGACTGTTTATCCACTTGCACTTTATCCACTCATTTTCTAGAATTGAAGTAATTGAATTGAAAATCCAAATAATTCTGATGTGGAACTTCTTTCCATTTTAGTGTCGTGGATGCTGACAGTAATATCGAAAATCTTCTTGTAAACAAAGACATGAGCAAAAAGGAATTCTTGGAACAGCTTATCAGAGAGGTAATTATAAGGTTTAAATATAAATTGTTGTTGAGATGATGAATGTTGAAAATAAAACTGAAAAAAAAAATAATTGAACCTTTTGAAATCTAAGTGAAATCTAAAGGTTCAGCTGGCTATAATAATTTTTTTTGTGCAAGCTGTATTTGAATTTTCATCAATTAAAAGTTATGATAAGAAATAGCAGATTCCAACCTCAAACTGTATAACATATAGAAAAAATATGAAAAGAAGCAGCAAAATTTAAACTTGCACAGGGGTTTCTTAAGTTTGTGAAATGCATATTAGAAATCGGCCTTAAGAAGATATTAATAAATTATTTGGAAGATATTTAATGAATTGTTTATTTGACTTGACACTGTATGACATTTTCTAGGAGAAATGGCAGAAGGAAGCCTTTGAATCCCTCCTGCTCCAGAAGGACTCAAAGCACCAGAGAATATCCAGCCAGATAGAACTGATTGAGAGAGAGCTCATGCAGATGACACTGGTGGAAATGGAGAGAAGAGATGTCAGAATAGATTCTGAAAAGGTAATAAATTGGGATTGTTGTTGTAAGAAGCTGTTTTTTACATGTGTATATCTGAATATTTTCAGATACCAAAAAGTAATGAATAAATAAATAGGTAAATAAATAAAAGTTGTTAAAACTCTCATTGCACTTGTTAGTCCTGAAATGGATTCAGAAGCTGCCATTTATTTGCCATGCATACTTTGTCCAAATCAGTAGATTGAACATTCATAAGCATATACTTAATAGATTAAGAAATAGATCCATTTGTGCCAAATATTTTTACTTTTACACTTTAAATTTAACATAAGTGCAGTTCATATTAGACCCCATTTCCAGAGATTAGATCGATCTACTTAGATCGACCTAACTCCCTGGGGGTTCACGCCAAATAGCTGTCAGCCGAGCGGACACGAAAGTTAATTACCCCCTTACAGCTTGTAATAGGCGGGACGGACATTTAAGCCAGATTATCTGACAGTAATCTAGTGAGACTCCGCGCGGGGATAGATCGATCTAAAAGCTCTGGGAATACAACCTTAGTGTCAACAATCATTTGGATGTCTCTGGATTAATTTTCCATCTGATCATGAAGATGCTGACAAAAAACTTTTTATAAAACATTTCTTGGTGATCTCTATTATGTTAGTAATTTATCTTTCGTCATAGAACATGCTGACAGAGAAGAGACAGGAACTGAGCAAGATGTTAGTTCAGTTAATTGAAGAAAAGGAACACAGGGAAGAACAAATTAAGAACAGATTGGTAAATATGTTTGTATATCTGTATATCAATATTTTGCTGTACTTTGAAAATTTTGTTATGAAAATGGACGGACTTAAGACAATATCCAATATCCAAATGTGCGTGCAAACATGTGCGTGTGCACACACACAGCAGTCTCCGTGTGTGTGTGTGTGTGTGTGCACACGCACATGTTTGCACGCACACACACACACACACACACACACACACACACACACACGGAGACTGCTTCACTTTAATTCATTTAAATCCATGTACATTTATCAAAAATTTTTCTGGTTGCGTTTCCACCATAAGCAGCCCTCAGACTCCTGGGTTATAAGACCACCAATTTACGACCAGAAATGATATCTGACTTGTACCAATTTAAAAATAAATAAGTAACTTTATAAATGAAAAATTCCAGCTTGAAATGGAGCAGGCCAAGCTGGATAACCAGATGGACTACTGGCTGGTTCAGTACCAGAGACTCATGGACAGGAAGCCTGATGCTCTCATCAACCAGGTTAGTAGACACCTGTATGACAACATGTGGAATCTGGAAGGTTATTGATTGAGATACATGTGTGGGGTGGTAAAAAAATCAAAAGACAAAAAGATGGAAAAGAATGAAAAAGGAAGTGGGAGGGATGAAGGAGAGATGAAAAAGGGGAAAGAAGGAAGAAAGGAGGCAAAAAAGGTTAAAAGAAAGAGGAAGAATTTACTAGGAAGGATGGATAAAAGGAGATATTGGGGGAAGCAAAAAAAAAAACTGGCTAAGGCTACAGTGTATGTCAATAGCATTTCAGGCTAGTTTGTGAAGGTTTTCAACAGACTAAACCTCACCTGGTGTCTTTCTTGTTTATTTTCTTTAGGAGATCCAGCTAGAATATGCAGTGGAGAACATATTGAGGGAGGCCAATGCCAACGACTACATCCCCCTGTTTGCACGCCATCGTATAAGTATTGAAACCATGGAGATATTGACTGAGGAAGACATGTGCAAGGTATTAATCAATAATGAGACATTTCTGACTATCAGCATATATTCTCGACTTTTTGGAAGCCAAAAATATGATTTTTGAGATCAATGCATTGGGCCACATTTTCAGACTTTTTCAAAAAATGGCAGTCTCAGCTCTGTTTTATGCACGTGACCAATCTGAACCTGAAATCTTTCAGCTTGCTGTCCTCTCAGACTGGTTGGTCTCTTGTCCAATTGAAAAATAACCAGTCCAAAGATAAAATTTATCGATTATTAAAGAATAATCTAAAACAACCACTTAATTTCCACCAGTTCAGTGGCTAATAGTAATTTTGGAAATCATTTTTTTTCATCAAGATATTTGGGAAAAAAACAGCTTATAATGACTTACAAAATTTTTTATAGATGGGTGTAACTGAGCTAGGCATAAGAAAAGCTATAATAAAGGCAATTCAGGAATATCAAGATGAACAACAACGGGCAGCAAAGAAGACAAAAGACATTGAAAAGACTAAAGATGCAGAGCCGTCAGAGTCACAAGAGGTATGCAGAATTATTAGGATTTCATTTGTAGAACTTCAGACATATTCCAAAAAAACAGGATTTGTCCGTTTTTTTTTCACACACTTACACATTTTTGTCAGAATGTATTGTTATAACCTGTGTTCGTCCGTCTGTGTTGATGGAGTATGAAAAACTGACATATTTTGTATTTTACTATTTACTCAAGATGTAAGATGCTGAAAATATAATTCACTAGCCATTGGAATTTTATTTTACTTCAAAAAGTGAATACCAAATATAAACTATCAAACTGGAAATTTTTCATGTGAATTATAACTGTCAGGTATTTATTTTTTATGAAATAAGTACATAATCTTGAAAATTCACTGATGAATAGCTTGTTGTAATTTTTAACACCATTGTGTTTTTATTGTACCACCAGCGTTAGCGCTGGCGGTACACATGGTTTCGGTCCCGTCCGGATCGTTCCGCCGGCTCCGTTGGCTCCGCCGGCTCCGCCGGACGGCTACCGTTACCGCTTCTCCTCCTAGACGGTAAGGGCCCCCGTACCCATCTCATGGATTTAGGTCACNGTTTGCTCCAGCTGGTGGTACAGTATTTGGAGGCGGTATCGCCTCTCTGATCCTCTAGTTACGTTTTATCTTGTCACCAGGCTGATGCAGCTATAGCGCCCCCTAGTGCAGGAGTTACCCCCTCAGCGCCCCCTGTGACAGAACTTATCGCCAGGGTTACAAGTGACTGTGTTGTCTGTATGGACAGTAGGGTAAGTTCTGTGTTATTTTAAAGCTATACTAAATGCTGCACTGTATGCATGGACACCAGGGTTAAAAAAGTGATGATTATTTTTAGAAATTGTCCTTCAATAATGAAAAGTATATTTAATATATTGGGTATGCATTCATTTTGGCAAACATTGCTGAGATCTCGTTTCAAATAAGTTGATAATCATTTTTTTAAATCCTTCAATAATATTAGGAGAAAGTTATGAAATATTTATTAGATGATTAAGAATAATTAAAACTGAAAAAAGTAAACCATTAGACTCTTCTTTTGATTAAAATTTGATGTAAATAACTAGTAATATTTTTGTTATTTACATCAAATTGTCACTTATATTAATGTACCTTGTAATATTTTTCCAGTCGGAGATGATTTTCATGAACTGTGGTCATGTCTGCTGCTGCAAGACCTGCTCAGAGAGCTTACCAGACTGTCCTCTGTGTAGACAGAAAATAGTACAGAAAATAAGGCTCACACAAGGTTGAACTGAACCAAAGAAACACTTAATAGATACTGGTAAAGCACGAGTCACAGAACTTTACAGGAAATACATGAGATAATTGGTAGGGTAAAGTCATGCCAGATAACTCTTATTTTGCAAAAAAGCTCTGTGTATCGAGTGCTTTATTTGACTTAACCACAGTTCATTAATGGAATGCAATAGTGTCTCTTCTCTACATAGAATAAAGCACAATACAACTTAAAAATTGTTTTCTATGTGATTTCTATTCGAATCCATGTTGAAAGTATGTGTGACTGTCTGGATGACTTAGGCATTGTTGATAATGAACTTGGTAACTCTCATGACTTACAGATTTTAGTTCAGAGATATGGTGAAAGAATGCTCAACTTTCACCTGTGATTATGAAACTGCATTTGCAGAAAATGTTTTTTTTTTTTTTTTTTTTTTTTTTTTAATGGAGTTACAGAGATAATTGACAAGATACCATTTATTTATATATGTATATAAATCCAGTAGCTTTATTTTCTAATCCATGTTATATTTTTTAAAAGTCATCATTGGGCCATGCATGTTTATTTTTTCTTTTTATTTATTTATTGTAATCATTTTCTCACCATGTTTGCATAGTAAAAATATGTTGTGAGTTTTCAGAGTATGGTCATGTTTAATGAAGTGTTCTCATTTTGTATAATTTTGATAACTCATTAGTCAGAATTTTAACACTGCCTCTTAAATATGAGCTTAATTTGGAGATATATTTAATTTAGCCGTCTTTTTATATACTGCCTCTGTATTTTAACAGGGACATTATTTCCTGGACAAAAATCACTTGATTTTTGTCAGCCTAAATGTTTATATGTGTAGCAACTGTGCCACTTGCTCACTTAATGATGAAGGATAGTATAACCTAGATGCAAAAAAAGTTGGCAATTCTCTCAGTAAATGCAGGTATGCCTAATATAAAGTTGTTTATGTCGAAGTCGTCTGTTGGTAAATCAAAATGGGAGAAAAATGTGGGACCATAAATGATTTTCCTGTCAGTTGTTGACATTGGGTTGGAGCATAACAGAAAATGGAGATGGGGAGTTGGGGGGTGGGGTGCTTCTGGGTATTGGTCCTTCTGTCTAGTGATGCTTTGAATTTTCAGTAACATGTAGCTAAGCATACACAGAATACATTGTTTAAAACATTATTCAAGAGCCAATTGGTTGAGGGTGTCATTAAAATAATATCAAACTGTTGGTTCATCAGCAGCCAGAACTCGATTATTGTCACAAAGCTTTTATAGCATATAATCTTTCATCTTTTAAGAATGTAGTAGGCAGTACATATAATTAAGACCTGTATAAAATTTAATTATAGTAGCTTAAAGTGGTGAATCATTCATGCCTTGTCCTTATTTTAGACCATCTAGTAAGATTATTTTAATACCCATTTTTCAAGGTTAAGATTTTTGTATTGAAAAAAAAGTTTTTTATTTTAAATAAGAGCGGTATTGATATTTATCTGTTTGTATGATAAATAGATTTGGCAGATTGTTTGCCTAGGGTAAAAATATGTATGAAAGTGTTGTGGACAGTTTTAACAAAAATAAGAGAAATAGATGTTGAAAACACTTCGCAGTCATTGTGGTTACTGTATATAATGTAAATTGAGATGCTTGTGCTTGCTACATGTATAGTTAACACTTTTTGCGATATTTTAATAATTAAGTAAGTTGGCCATTTTAAGGTCTTTTTATGAAGATTAAACTTTTGAATGTGTGATAGTATTAGGTACTAGTATACTATAAGCCAAAAGATATTTAAGTTATATGTGTTGGAATATTAAAAGATGGTGTGGCGTAGCTGTCAACAATATAGACTCAGAACCAGATATACAGTATGCTTTTTCAATTTTGTTTTGAAGAAGCAGCTCTACGATTTGCAATCATTTCTTTTATACTGCAGGAGGATCTTTATATTATGTTAGCCACTGCAGTTTATTTAAGTCCCTTTAACAATTTCTTAGCCTTAAATGTGACTTTTAAGTAATTTTAAGTAACTTGAATTCTTAAGTGTTAGTTAAACTGATTTCAGGGGAACTCCATTTTACTAAAAAATCAATATTTTGGTTTACGCATGATGTTAAGGGCCATTCTGAGAGGGCAGGGAGAGAGGGTATCTTTTCATGCGTACTATGGTTGCCACGGCCTGTAAAGAAAAATACAAGTTTGTAAATAATTCATGACCATGACATACCCTGGATGTGATTATGTTTAGAATTCATAGTAAATAAACGGTCTTTACTTGTATATACGCCTTTGATGAATATTTTTAGTGATAAAGTTGATGAATATTATTAGTGATAAAGTTGATGAATATTATTAGTGATAAAGTTGGGATTCTGTTTTGGAGTTGGGTGCATATAACGTGTCTTTCATAATAATTCAATTTTCAACACTGGGAACGGAATTTTGACTTGAAAACGAGCAGTGCTTGTGCTTGCATGGTTTTTAAACGTGTTAAAACACGTGTTATTCAAATCCAGAAAAGTAAACCCATGGCCTGGTAGATGAGGCACACTGTGAAATAGCACTCTACAAAGGTTAACCTATACAAAAGGCCAGAAAAAGTAGCCTCTTGGACTGAAAATTATTTGAAACTACAAGTCGAACAAGATGACTGAAAAACTGGAGAAAATTATTTAATCTTTCAATATATATATCAAATGATTACAAAAAAGGAAAGAGCAAACTATCGAAGGAAAGTGTGGATAATTTTAGTGTCCTCGTGAAATTAATAAACTATCAGTATTTGACAGTCGTNTTTTTTTGTGCAAGCTGTATTTGAATTTTCATCAATTTAAAGTTATGATAAGAAATGGCAGATTCCAACCTCAAACTGTATAACATATAGAAAAAATATGAAAAGAAGCAGCAAAATTTAAACTTGCAGGGGTTTCTTAAGTTTGTGAAATGCATATTAGAAATCGGCCTTAAGAAGATATTAATAAATTATTTGGAAGATATTTAATGAATTGTTTATTTGACTTGACACTGTATGACATTTTCTAGGAGAAATGGCAGAAGGAAGCCTTTGAATCCCTCCTGCTCCAGAAGGACTCCAAGCACCAGAGAATATCCAGCCAGATAGAACTGATTGAGAGAGAGCTCATGCAGATGACACTGGTGGAAATGGAGAGAAGAGATGTCAGAATAGATTCTGAAAAGGTAATAAATTGGGATTGTTGTTGTAAGAAGCTGTTTTTTACATGTGTATATCTGAATATTTTTGGATACCAAAAAGTAATGAATGAATAAATAGGTAAAGAAATAAAAGTTGTTAAAATTCTCATTGCACTTGTTAGTCCTGAAATGGATTCAAAAGCTGCCATTTATTTGCCATGCATACTTTGTCCAAATCAGTAGATTGAACATTCATAAGCATATACTTATAGATTAAGAAACAGATCCATTTGTGCCAAATATTTTTACTTTTACACTTAAAATTTAACATTAGTGCAATTCATATTAGTGTCAACAATCATTTGGATGTCTCTGGATTAATTTTCCATCTGATCATGAAGATGCTGACAAAAAACTTCTTATTAAACATTTCTTGGTGATCTCTATTATGTTAGTAATTTATCTTTCGTCATAGAACATGCTGACAGAGAAGAGACAGGAACTGAGCAAGATGCTAGTTCAGTTAATTGAAGAAAAGGAACACAGGGAAGAACAAATTAAGAACAGATTGGTAAATATGTTTGTTTATCTGTATATCAATATTTTGCTGTACTTTGAAAATTTTGTTATGAAAATGGACGGACTTAAGACAATATACAATATCCAAATGTGCGTGCATACATGTGGGTGTGCATGTGCACGCATGCACACACACACACACACATGAGACTGCTTCACTTTAATTCATTTAAATCCATGTACATTTATTAAAAAATTTTCTGGTTGTGTTTCTACCATAAGCAGCCCTCAGACTCATGGGTTATAAGACCACCAATTTACGACCAAAAATGATATCTGACTTGTACCAATTTGAAAAATAAATAAGAAAATTTCTAAATGAAAATTCCAGCTTGAAATGGAGCAGGCCAAGCTGGATAACCAGATGGACTACTGGCTGGTTCAGTACCAGAGACTCATGGACAGGAAGCCTGATGCTCTCATCAACCAGGTTAGTAGACACCTGTATGACAACGTGGAATCTGGAAGGTTATTGATTGAGATACATGTGTGGGGTGGTAAAAAAATCAAAAGACAAAAAGATGGAAAAGAATGAAAAAGGAAGTGGGAGGGATAAAGGAGAGATGAAAAAGGGGAAAGAAGGAAGAAAGGAGGCAAAAAAGGTTAAAAGAAAGAGGAAGAATTTACTAGGAAGGATGGATAAAAGGAGATATTGGGGGAAGCAAAAAAAACTGGTTAAGACTACAGTGTATTTCAATAGCATTTCAGGCTAGTTTGTGAAGGTTCTCAACAGACTAAACCTCACCTGGTGTCTTTCTTGTTTATTTTCTTTAGGAGATCCAGCTAGAATACGCAGTGGAGAACATATTGAGGGAGGCCAATGCCAGTGACTACATCCCCCTGTTTGCACGTCATCGTATAAGTATTGAAACCATGGAGATATTGACTGAGGAAGACATGTGCAAGGTATTTATCAATAATGAGACATTTCTGACTATCAGCATATATTCTCGACTTTTTGGAAGCCAAAAATATGATTTTTGAGATCAATGCATTGGGCCACATTTTCAGACATTTCAATAAATGGCAGTCTCAGCTCTGTTTTATGCACGTGTCTAGTCTGAACCTGAAATCTTTCAGCTTGCTGTCCTCCCAGACTGGTTGGTCTCTTGTCCAATTGAAAAATAACCAGTCCAAAGATAAAATTTATCGATAATCAAAGAATAATCTAAAACAACCACTTAATTTCCACCAGTTCAGTGGCTAATAGTAATTTTGGAAATCATTTTTTTTTCTTCAAGATATTTGGGGAAAAAAAACAGCTTATAATGACTTACAAATGTTTTATAGATGGGTGTAACTGAGCTAGGCATAAGAAAAGCTATAATAAAGGCAATTCAGGAATATCAAGATGAACAACAACGGGCAGCAAAGAAGACAAAAGACATTGAAAAGACTAAAGATGCAGAGCCGTCAGAGTCACAAGAGGTATGCAGAATTATGAGAATTTCAATTGTAGAACTTCAGACATATTCCAAAAAACAGGATTTGTCCGTTTTTTTCACACACTTACACATTTTTGTCAGAATGTATTGTTATAACCTGTGTTCGTCCGTCTGTGTTGATGGAGTATGAAAAACTGACATTTTTTGTATTTTACCATTTATTCAAGATGTAAGATGTTGAAAATATAATTCACTAGCCATTGGAATTTTATTTTACTTCAAAAAGTGAATACCAAATATAAACTATCAAACTGTAAATTTTTCATGTGAATTATAACTGTCAGGTATTTATATTTTATGAAATAAGTACATAATCTTGAAATTTCACTGATGAATAGCTTGTTGTAATTTTTAACACCATTGTGTTTTTATTACGTTTTATCTTGTCACCAGGCTGATGCAGCTATAGCGCCCCCTAGTGCAGGAGTTACCCCCTCAGCGCCCCCTGTGACAGAACTTATCGCCAGGGTTACAAGTGACTGTGTTGTCTGTATGGACAGTAGGGTAAGTTCTGTGTTATTTTAAAGCTATATATTAAATACTGCACTGTATGCATGATCACCAGGGTTAAAAATGTGATGTTTAATTTCAGAAATTGTCCTTCAGTAATGAAAAGAATATTTAATATATTGGGTATGCTTTCATTTTGGCAAACATTGCTGAGATCTCATGTTTCAAATAAGTAGATTAACTTTTTTTTAAATCATTCAAAAATATTAGGAGAAAGTTATGATAATTATTTATCTGATGATTGAAAATTATTAAAACTGAAAAAGGTAAACCATTGGACTTTATTTATGATTAAAATTTGATGTAAATAACTAATAATATTTTTATTATTTACATGAAATGTCACTCATATTTATGTACCTTTAACTATTTTCCAGTCGGAGATGATTTTCATGAACTGTGGTCATGTCTGCTGCTGCAAGACCTGCTCAGAGAGCTTACCAGACTGTCCTCTGTGTAGACAGAAAATAGTACAGAAAATAAGGCTCACACAAGGTTGAACTGAACCAAATAAACACTTAATAGATACTGGTAAAGCACGAGTCACAGAACTTTACAGGAAATACATGAGATAATTGGTAGGGTAAAGTCATGCCAGATAACTCTTATTTTGCAAAAAAGCTCTGTGTATCGAGTGTTTTATTTGACTTAAACCACAGTTCATTAATGGAATGCAATAGTGTCTCTTCTCTACATGGAATAAAGCACAACTTAAAAATTGTTTTCTGTGTGATTTCTATTCAAATCCATGTTAAAAGTATGTGTGACTGTCTGGATGACTTAGGCATTGTTGATAATGAACTTGCTAACTTTTAAGACTTACAGATTTTAGTTCAGAGATATGGTGAAAGAATGCTCAACTTTCACCTGTGATTATGAACCCGCATTTGCAGAAAATGTTCTTTTTTTTTTTTATGGAGTTACAGAGATAATTGACAAGATACCATCTATTTATATATGTATATAAATCCAGTAGCTTTATTTTCTAATCCATGTCATTTTTTTTAAAAGTCATCATTGGGCCATGCATGTTTTTTCTTTTTATTTATTTATTGTAATCATTTTCTCACTATGTTTGCATACTTAAAATATGTTGTGAGTTTTCAAAGTATGGTCATGTTTAATGAAGTGTTCTCATTTTGTATAATTTTGATAACTCATTAGTCAGAATTTTAACACTGCCTCTTAAATATGAGCTTAATTTGGAGATATATTTAATTTAGCCGTCTTTTTATATACTGCCTCTGTATTTTAACAGGGACATTTCCTGGACAAAAATCACTTGATTTTTGTCAGCCTAAATGTTTATATGTGTAGCAACTGTGTCGCTTGCTCACTTAATGATGAAGGATAGTATAACTCAGATGCAAAAAAAGTTGGCAATTCTCTCTGCCTTGCAGCAAATGCAGGTATGCCTAAGATGAAGTTGTTTATGTTGAAGTGGTCTGTTGGTAAATCAAAATGGGAGAAAAATGTAGGACCATTAATGATTTTCCTGTCAGTTGTTGACATTGGGTTGGAGTATAACAGAAAATGGAGATGGGGAGTTGGGAGGGGGGGGGTGCTTCTGGGTATTGGTCCTTCTGTCTAGTGATGCTTTGAATTTTCAGTAACATGTAGCTAAGCATACACAGAATACATTGTTTAAAACATTATTCAAGAGCCAATTGGTTGAGGTTGTCATAAAAATAATATCAAACTGTTGGTTCATCAGCAGCCAGAACTCAATTATTGTCACAAAGCTTTTATAGCATATAATCCTTCATCTTTTAAGAATGTAGTAGACAGTACATATAATTAAGACCTGTATAAAATTTAATTATAGTAGCTTAAAGTGGTGAATCATTCATGCCTTGTCCTTATTTTAGACCATCTAGTAAGATTATTTTAATACCCATTTTTCAAGGTTAAGATTTTTGTATTGAAAAAAAAGTTTTTTATTTTAAATAAGAGTGGTATTGATATTTATCTGTTTGTATGATAAATAGATTTGGCAGATTGTTTGCCTAGGGTAAAATTATGTATGAAAGTGTTGTGGACTGTTTTAACAAAAAAAAAAGAGAAATAGATGTTGAAAACACTTCACAGTCATTGTGGTTACTGTATATAATGTAAATTGAGATGCTTGTGCTTGCTACATGTATAGTTAACACTTTTTGTGATATTTTAATAATTAAGTAAGTTGGCCATTTTAAGGTCTTTTTATGAAGATTAAACTTTTGAATGTGTGATAGTATTAGGTACTAGTATACTATAAGCCAAAAGATATTTAAGTTATATGTGTTGGAATATTAATAGATGGTGTGGCGTAGCTGTCAACAATATAGACTCAGAACCAGATATACAGTATGCTTTTTCAATTTTGTTTTGAAGAAGCAGCTCTACGATTTGCAATCATTTCTTTTATACTGCAGGAGGATCTTTATATTATGTTAGCCACTGCAGTTTATTAAGTCCCTTTAACAATTTCTTAGCCTTAAATGTGACTTTTAAGTAATTTTAAGTAACTTGAATTCTTAAGTGTTAGTTAAACTGATTTCAGGGGAACTCCATTTTACTAAAAAATCAATATTTTGGTTTACGCATGATGTTAAGGGCCATTCTGAGAGGGCAGGGAGAGAGGGTATCTTTTCATGTGTACTATGGTTGCCATGGCCTGTAAAGAAAAATACAAGTTTGTAAATAATTCATGACCATGACATACCCTGGATGTGATAATGTTTAGAATTCATAGTAAATAAACGGTCTTTACTTGTATATACGCCTTTGATGAATATTTTTAGTGATAAAGTTGATGAATATTATAAGTGATAAAGTTGGGATTCTGTTTTGGAGTTGGGTGCATATAACGTGTCTTTCATAATAATTTAATTTTCAACACTGGGAACGGAATTTTGACTTGAAAACGAGCAGTGCTTGCATGGTTTTTAAACGTGTTAAAACACGTGTTATTCAAATCCAGAAAAGTAAACCCAAGGCCTGGTAGATGAGGCACACTGTGAAATAGCACTCTACAAAGGTTAACCTATACAAAAGGCCAGAAAAAGTAGCCTCTTGGACTGAAAATTATTTGAAACTACAAGTCGAACAAGATGACTGAAAAACTGGAGAAAATTATTTAATCTTTCAGTATATATATCAAATGATTACAAAAAAGGAAAGAGCAAACTATCGAAGGAAAGTGTGGATAATTTTAGTGTCCTCGTGAAATTAATAAACTATCAGTATTTGACAGTCATAAATCTAGCACGAAGACCCATGCATTAGCATTCCTATTGTCGTCTTTTGATATTGAATAAATTCATAAAAAAGAAACGTACATGTAAATAAGAATTATAAATCTTCAGCATGATATTTTTAGCACAAATCAAAAGATAGTAAGTCTTAGATCAACCCAAGATGCCCTTTATGATAACAAAGCTATCCGGCGATTTATTAGCAGGTTTGACAGGAATTTTTCTCTTATCAATTTCACCTGACTGACCCTCGGACGGATTTTGAGGTTGCTGTGGTTGATTGGACGCAATTGGTTGCTTGGGTTGCTCCGGATTGGTTGCGGTTCTATGTTCGGGCAACCCCGGCTTGTCTGGCTGTCCGGGAACAACCGGCTTTTCTGGCTGCTCGGGAGCAATCGGTTTTCCTGGCTGTTCGGGAGCAATCGGTTTTTCTGGCTGTCCAGGAGCAACCGGCTTTTCTGGCTGTCCAGGAGCAACCGGCTTTTCTGGCTGTCCGGGAGCAACCGGCTTTTCTGGCTGTTCGGGAGCAACCGGCTTTTCTGGCTGTTCGGGCAACCCTGGCTTGTTTGGCTGTCCGGGAGCAGTCGGCATTTCATGCCCAGGGTCGGCAGGTTTTGTAGGCTTTCTGGGCGTCTTCGGCTGCAGGTTGTGTTGCCAACCTATCACTGGAATATCCCCAACCCTGGCAAATATTCCCAGACCGACGCTGACAGGTTTCCTTTCTTTTGCTTTTTCTGTAAAAGTTTGAAGAAATTAGCACAAAATGAAAGCATTCCAGTTTTGAAAATCAACGCCCTTCTGCCGACTTGAAAATAAATTATGACGTATGCATAACACTCAAATGTCGCAAATACTTATTTTACTTTTTTTTCATAATTATATGGACAGATTAATAAAAAAAGTTATAGCAAGTGCCACTTAAGGCTTTTAATGACTTTGCAAATACAGTAGTTAGCGTAAATAAAAGCCGGTAAGAATACAAACTAACTTAACTAGATCACGGAGAATTTATGGCGTTACCATCTACAAATGTTTTGCAGATTTATTATATTTAATACCTGGAACAAATTGTCCCGTTTCCTTTGTTCTTTGCGGTTTCTCTGCTGGTAAATCATTGGGTGACGCATTGGGTGGAATATCATGACCTATTGTAATAAAACAAAAATGAATACATATGAAGATATATAACTGAAATGTTAATGAAACGAAGCCACGGTGGCCCTGATGTGGTCTTTATTGTAGCTTATAAGTTGAGCAGGTTCATATAGCTGTGTTTTAAACTTAAAACAACAGTCGTTAATCATTGTTTGCTAAAACATCTATGCTGTTACCAAGTCCAAGTCTAGTTTTATGCCATTTCTTAAGTTTGGTACAAATGTACTGGTACACTCATTCAGAAAAGGAACCCTCACTTTGAAAATACAACCCACACATCGTCAAAGTCAAAAGTAATTTTATTAATGAGATCAATTTCTTGTTTTAAAAGTTTATCTGAAATATCTATGTAAATAATAAGTACCTGGTTCCGGGTGCTGGCCCCTGTTGGCTTCTTTTGGGGGCGGAGCTAATTCGTTCAACCGTCCAATGGTTATGACGGGGCTGCGTACAGTACCCGGTGCAAGGGCTTTAACTAGGGGTAAACAACGCAAAAAATTTTACGGAAATCGTCTATATGCAGTAACTTATCTACAAAACGTCGGTTTAGATATACGTCACACATGTATACACTTCAATTTTACGATTTCTCAGACAGTCAGAACAACTTACTTACACAATTAGAGAGCTAAAAAAACTCTGTAAACATTAATTTCACTACAGTACATGTACCAACCAGGACCATAAGTTGCACCGTGTAAACGCGCCTCGCCTGACACAGCACACGTGTCCCTGGGGACACAGCCTACTACGCCCTCTCTCGCAGGGGAGCATACCGACCCCCAAGGACAAGTAAGGACCGCAGGAGGGAGGCCTTGTTCCTGATAACCCAGGGGGCACACAGAATAAGCAGCAGACTCACAGGGTGTGGCACAGGACATCCCGACTCCCACGTCGGAGCAGCTGTCGGCAACTGAAACCATAAGTTCAAGTCAAGGTCACAGAGTCTGTATTTCTCGTGCCTGGGTCCAGCTTAGTCGGCTGAACTCGGATAGCCTACTACCTGACGACAGCTTATATGTGACGTCAGTATTTGGGCGTTTTATGAACGATTGGAATTACATTAATAAATGTGCTATTGTTACCACTTAAAACTTTTTACCAATTTACTCCAAGTTTAGGTTCAAAAATCGAAAGCAAAAAGAAACAGGTAAGGGACCTTCCTATGTATTTTGCAAAGCACAGCTCAAGCTGCTGGGATCCAAAACTAAGTCGTTTTTATGGAACTGGCTTTAGTCCGTTTCACAGAGTGAGGAATATTAGGCCTACCCACTTCAGAGGAGGTTTGAAGAAAAATGATGAAAAAAACAGGCCAACCGATTACATGCCGTATGAATACAATGTATGGACGCAGGGGAAGACGCATTTTACTGATGTGATAATTAAGAATTACTTGCCTTTGATTCCGTTCCCAATGAGGTAGTTGAGTGACCTCGCGTTCGGGAATAGAGCTGACCGTGCCGCGTACATCACCATGGCCAACGCAATGACAACCAAACACAGAATCAGCATCGCACAGCAAGCACCAACATTGTTCCTCGGCCATCTTCCTCTCTTCTCACCGAGTCCAGCACTGGCGTTCTTCTCCGTGTCTACTCGGACTTTGAGGCATTTTCGACTGCGAGAGGCTGAGGGCGCCGTGCAAGTACAGGTGCCGGGCTGGCAGGTGCACAAACGCGCTGCAGATTTGATGAGATTTTGCTCCTGAGCCTTCGAAAGGATTTCTGCCAACTCGCCAGTGCGTACTACACCACTTTTTGAATCTATAAGATAGTACGCCATTTTCGCCTTGACACGATTTCGTGCGTTGAACAACTCCTCGCCGGAACCTCGGGCGTTGTGCGAGGACTGAAGGGTCACCAACATTTATATGTCTCACTCTGAAGTAGTGCGACAACTGCTCAGCATGAGTACATTTGTACATCTCACTGGGCGTTCCGGAATACCTCGATCGCTTTGTCTTCTGAGTTCATCTCCCACTTCACCCCCTTTCTCTCTCCATCTCTCCCCCCCTCCCCTCTTTTGGGACCGTTGCCTGCCATGGTACCCACATAGTCAGTGGCGGATTTAGAGGGGGATCAGGGGAGGCCCTGACCCTCCCTTCGATTTCTGAAAAAATTACACTTATATTCCCCTTTTGGAATTAGTATTTTGACTAGCTGATTTATAGTCCTAAACCGTACTAAATGGCACCGTTCGCCCTCAAAAATACCAGTCGAGGGGCGGAGGTCGGCTTTGCATCCGCGGGCCCCCTTCAAATAATCCTGGATCCGCCCCTGATAGTTCCCCTTGGTTTGGTATTTCTGATCAATTTTTTGGTGTTACTTCCCAACCATTGACTGAGGCTCTTTGTGGATATAAACATTGCCTTCTGTTTGCTCTGTTCTTCTTCTTCTATTTTGCCTGTGATTTCCAAATATTCTAGATCACCTTTTTGAATAGGGTACAAGAATAGCTAGCATAAAACGGGACACGAGGACAATTTTACTATAACGGATGGAAAAGTAGCTGTTTTGTCTCCTTGTTATTGTTAATTATTTGAGAAGAATGAGACGAGGCTATTTTATGGGTTCACGGGCACCCCCCTCCCCCGACTCGCCATTACCTCTCAGTATTTGGTACAGGTTGCTATCAAAATATTGACGTACACAAAAGAATACAAAAGTATTAAAAAGTTGCTGTTGCGGCCGTTTTAATGTACTTGAAGGGTTTTGTAACGGTTCACAGGGAGGTTGGTGGTCTTTCAAACCGAATGCCTTGAAATAAAACTTGAGGTTGCAGTAAATGGCATCGACATATTTGATATAAAATTGGATGTTGGAATTTAGCTATAGCACGTACTACAAGATTTAGCCAGCTCTTGGATGAAAAAACAGCTAATTTCCAAATAAAAAACAAAGGCGTGTGAATGGTTCTTTATTGTTTATTTTTTACATTGTTTATTATGTAATGTAAATATAACAAACGTGTAACCATTACGATCTCTGTAATCAGAAGTTTTCAACAAAGATTCACATTTGGAAAAATAATTTAAAAAGTCATGATAGGTGTTTGAGAACATCTTTCTCGTCATTTCTATTCTACAAGTGGTATTCCTTCCGCGAACTATTATTGGCTAGAAGCGTATAGACAACTGTTCGACGTCCTTTTTAATTGTCGAAGGAAACTGTGGTAATGGAGACTCGTTTTTTTAAAGTATTTTTATTTACTGGTCGCCCCAAAGGCCAAATTTACTTTATATAATGCCCCCCTCCTTTTTGAAAGCGATTTATTCTTGCTCATCACGGTGAGACCCGCTTTTACTTACACTGACCGTTGATTCCCTTTAAATCCATTAAATATTTAAAAACAAAAAATAAACAAGACAAAATAACCATTTTGCTTATATAACAAATTTATCACATAACAAGGTGTATACATACACGTGGGAAAACAACAACAACAAAATACTGTCAAGTTCTTAAATGTGAGAAAATTGTAGATATATGTATGTTCATCACGAGGCTAGTTTTCATATTCTGGAGTGTACAACTCACTTATTTACTTTAATTATCAATCATTTAGTTATTCTCATGCCAAAACCCAAGTACGGTAAGTCCAGTAGAGGTCGAAGACGAAATAGTTTTATATACAATTTTGAAATATACCGACCTAAGTAAAAATTGAAGTTGAGTTGAGAGCTTACTGCGAGTTGAAAGAAGCGTCTGGCGTCTATAGAAATCCAGCCGTACACTCACCAATATGATGCCTATTATTATGCAGATATACTACAAAGTGTTTCGTGTCGATTCGACGATTTAATTAATCAAGCAATATTAACTGCTCATTCTTGTCCTGTCCCATAGCTAAGGTCGACTGTCTTTGGCCATCGCTCCTACTTTTTATGGGCTGTTGGGTTTTCCTTTCCGTTCCTGGTCAACATCCACACGGTTAAGGAACGGGGCAGCTGCAGGTGCACCGCCATCTATGGTAATGTGAAGTTAATGAAACAGTTATTCACATAAATGTCAGTTAATGTACGGCAATTAAGACAGCAACAGAATGGAACTGAGAAATTTAGAAAAATAATGTTCAAGTAGACATCTTTGTAATTTGCTACATAAACGAACATAGAAACGTTTGTCCCTTTTTAGTTTCAGTTTTCATCACATTCTATTCCGAAGCAGCAATATAATAAAACGGCTTTACATTTAAAATCATATAAAAGCTTCGATATGAATAACAAGCTTAAGTTACATACCCGTATTATAGCAGGCGCCTTTATCCACGCACCCAACTACGCCCTCTTTAGGGGCGGAGCAAACAGTTCCTCGGGGACATCGGAGAATGGCGGGGGGCAGTCCATTTTCCTGGTAACCTTGGGGACATACTGAATAGACGGGAGATTGACAGTTGGCTGGACAAAACATCCCTGCTCCTAAGTCGGCGCAGCTGACGATATCGACTGAAATAAATAAATTCCAACATATAGTTTTTAAAATTAAAATACATTATATCACCATTTTACAATTCTTCGAACAGTCTTCAACCAGGTTTGCGCCTATCCTATTGTCATTTTGTGTGCAATAACTCAACTGCTTTCTTAGATTTCTGGTAAAGAGTACAATGCCTACCTTGAGCGCCGTATTCCACGTTTTCGTTATAACAACTGTACGTCATGTACGTCACTGTCATGATAAGCGGTAGCAGCAGCAGAGTAACAGTATACGTGTAGCACGACTTGAGAAAACCACCCTCAAAGACACGTCTACAGCACCCTTCCTGTTATTCTTGTTTGGCTTGATTTTCAGTTTCAGAGGCCCTTGATTCGCCAGGTCTGCACACCCAACGTCGCCTTCAATAGGGTAGCACTCGCTGTCGGTCTTTGGCGTGGAGTTTTCGACGATGCCAGTCATGTTGTCCCAATCTGTTCCCGTGGTCCCCCGGTGACTTGGTCTGTGGTCTTGGCGTGGCTGCGGTGAAATGAGCGCCGTGTGCCGTATATATACCGGACGATAGTGATAACTTGTCATCCAGGTCTTGAGACTTGTCACGCAGATTTTGAACACGAGGAACCGGGCACACCCATCCGCCCAAGCCTCCTGTGTAAAGCCTGTAGTAGCGCTGCGTAAGGTTCCTACTATTCAAAATCTCCATGATAAGTCGTCACCTGCGTCAGGCATAAATACTGTGCGCCTGTAAAAAGGTCTGATTTCCATGCGTACATTAAACAAATGCAAAATGCTAACGCAAGTAAATTAATCATTAAACTACAGTACGTTGTTTTAAAAGCATATCATATCAGCGTGTTAAACTATATTGTGCTTTTTCATTGGTAAATTGGAGGAAAATGCAATTAACAGAATAGATAATTTAAAATAGATAAGAATAAAACGCACTAACAATACAAATTTAACTCATAAGGGATCTAAATGTTTGAAGTTCAGTAAGGGCTGTTTGCTACTTTATTCCTTGCCCAGAGAGAAAGAGAGAAGGTGAGAGGACCGGACTGAGATTCTGCTGCGCAGTTCAAGCCCGAAACGATTTCACGAAAACTAATCCAATCAAGTAGGGCATCCTCTAGTTCAGGTCAGTTTTATTGTAAGTACGGTTCTTATAAGAAGGCTTGACATGTGTTCTCCATACAGAAAAGAGATATTAGACCCGAACATACAGTGTTAAGGCTATCTAGATTAATTGAAAAAAACCTCTGAAGTTTCCTCAAGGAAGAAAAATTTTATACAGCTGGCCCATTGACCTGTTCCTATCGGAATAGATCTTACACACTGGATGTTTGTGATTGCATCACAGCATAAATACTTTACTGTTATTCCAAGAACGGTAAAACTTGACCCTGAGGTTCAGTGGTAATGAGCTTCGTATTACCCAAACAATCCCAAGAGGCGACAAGGCAAATATAGCTGCTGCAGAACTTGTAACATATAGGGCTATGATATCTAGGGTATTTAACTACACCCATATCCAGATATTCAGCTGGCATTTTTTCAGTTGTGAACGAGCATAATATCATAGGCTTCACTTGAAGGAATATGGACGCCAGGAAACGTTTCGTTAGATTCTGCATAATTATTCTCGCAGGCTGCTTGAATCCGGGTCTTGGTCAAAGTCGGCTGTCTTATATCTGGTCACAGAACCTTTGGGGAAGAAGTCAGGAAGCTGGATGGCGACCTTCCCTGAGAGAATCGGGTATTTTCTTTCGCTACTACTGGCCCCTTTTCCTGCGTTTTAATCCACAGCCGAACTTGTTGGATCTCCTGGAACAGGTGAACGCCAGAGCTTTTCTCGAGTTGGTAGCCAGCTCCGGCGTCTCAGACACACTTGCGAAGACGGACGGTGAGTGAATTGTAACAAATGCCAAACATAAATTATAAGGTGAAACTTTTTAAGTGAACAAGTGCTTTCTACTTTTCTACTGCAATCGCAGCATTGTTCATTTGCAGTGGGAAGTTTCCAGTGCTTTTATCACATTTAACCGGAGTTAACCAAGTTTCATCTTTGAATTCATAGATGAATTACTTTCAAGTATCAAGGATGAATGTTTCAGTATCTTTATTTGTAAAATTATAAGTTTTGAGTTATTAAGATTAATAAATCTTCCTGTTTTTCTTTATTTTTCCACTTTTAAAGATGTTGATCACACTATAAAATCCAATTCTGGATTGAATCAACTAATTCAATTTGCGTTTAGACTGAAAGGGAGTAATCTGATTGATCCGCTTTCTAACGCTTGGGAAAATGGCTTACAGCGTATTTCAACGCATTGCCTTGCGCGCGCCTGAATTGAGTAATATTTACGAGCACGATAATATGGTCTTAAATGATTTTGCTTGTTTCCAGGACCCCTTACAATATTCGCTCCCAGCAACGAAGCTTTTGCTCGGTTATCAAAGGAAGAGCTCACCGAACTCGTAACGAACAAGAACGCTGCGCGAGATCTCATAAGGTTCCATATGACTCCTGCGTTCGTGTTCTCGCAACTGTTCAAGAATAACTTACAGCTTCGTTCCCTTACGGGGGTTGACTTAAGGATCAATGTTTATCAAGGTGGAAAGGTTTGTATGAAAGAGCGGTAGATTTAGTCACTTTTTTCATTTGGCTTAAACATCTGGTAACGTTATTTTCAAGTGTCACGCAACCCAGTATATGCATTGTGTTTGCCGTGATCGATCACAGGCGAATTAATGCAGTAGATGCTTAATTTCTCTTATTCCTTAGTAATGTCGCTTTTTCTGTGAGACAGCCGGTAGTTGGTAAGGTAAATAAAATCTTATATGACATTATCAACATTAGATACCTAATTCTGCCTAATTTTATTCTGGTAAGTAATTTGATTGAACTATTTGAATGAAAATCCTATGAAAAATATGTGATACATGTATGTAAGTATATGGTACATCGTTTATAACATATTATATATAGGTGAAGAAATGCCGAAAGGGCGTCAAAGGGAGCCGCAGAAAAAAGGGACGAGAAGTTGCACCCCCATCCCAACCAAATTTACCTCAGAGTTTGCTTCGATTATTTGAGATTTACTGCGTCTGTTCAAATAATAAAATATTTCGTTCTTAACATGCAATTTTCATTCGAATATTTGAACAGGTTTTTACAGCATCTGGCGCAACACTGTCCAGCAAGAACCAATTAGCATCAAATGGCATTGTGCACGTGATTGATGACGTAATCTTACCTGTTCCCAGGGATACAGTTCTCCAAGCCGCTAGGGATCACCCTGATCTCACGAGACTCGCGGAGGAGTTCACATCTTTGAACTTGACAAGAGCCCTAGATGGTACGGCAATTTTGCTTATTTCCACAGAAACGTAATGAAAATAGTAAATAATGAAGTAATTGAATTGCTTGGTGTTCGTGTTGAAGCCAATGTATTTTATAAAAGAAGGGAGAAAATGGGCACCGTAAAATTCCAATTAACAACCAAAACAGTCCCTAATTATGCTTGAAATTTTATTGATCACGAAGCAATTTTAATATTTTTGTCTTCCTCTCCGTCATTTTTTTCTTCTTTGAATCCCCAATCTCTTCTTTTTGTTCATTTATGCAACCACCTTTCTCATAATGTTTTTTTTTTTCATTTTTTGAGAGACATTTTTTATGGCACGTAAGAATAGGTACTTTATCAAGCTGTATAGTTTCTTTAATTTCCTAAGGGCGTAGTCCAATCACAGTGTTCGCGCCGACGGATGCTGCATTTGAGAAAATTCCCAAGAGGATCCAAGACCGACTCCTTAAGAACATTCCTACAATGACACACGTAAGAACATCTTTTGGAAATAATCAGATTCCGTTGAAATAATTCATAAGATAATGAAGTAAAAGACAAAAAGAGCGAATTTTTTATCAAAATAAACCGCGTTTTGTTATCAATAAAATGTATACTCTATGCAAGACATCATTATTTATCTATTTATTCATCAGATTCTACAACAGCATATTGTACCCGGAGTCGTCTATAGAGCAGGGTTGACTAACGGAGATCCTGTTAAGACAGTGACAGGGGGAATTCATTTTATCACCAAAACGGATAAAAGTTGTAAGTAATCAAGTGTGTGAACTCAACCGTTGTAATGTACACACGGCGCCGTGTACTTTATAGTATAGGCCAGTAAAGTGAAGAAATTAATTCCATCGAAAAATTCTCGCAGGTAACAGTCGATATGTCAATGATCCAGAGACATATCGAAGAATATTTGGTGAAAAATTAACTCGTGACCCTGGTGTAGAGTCTGCGTGGGCCTACACCTTGTGCAAGTAGGCCCGCAAGCGAATTTATCCATGGCACTTTGTGAGAATAGAGTTCAGATTTGGCCCCAACAGTATCATTCCAAACAAAGTGGGTAACCAAAATCGGTTCTGTATGCCAGAAGGGAATTATTTGTCCTGAGATATAACAAAACGGATATGAAATGCGAAAACCACGCCAGCGTCAATGCCTCATGCGGCCAAAACTCAACAACAACACATCAACAGATTAATCTCAGTCTGATTATATACACCAACATCCGAGTATCATATTTGCGCTGTCAGAGATACAAGGAAAGATTAGAAATATTAACTAAGGCATGGACATAAGTGCTCATTTGCCAAAAGTTTACAAGCGAGAAAAATGTCGATTAACGTCGCTGGGCAGTGATCATAAAAGACACGTTAACGATGGTCATTAACGACGCTCCATGCATGGCGGATGGTCTTTTCAACCTACAGTACCATATCATGACATGAAAATACTGTAGGAATTTGATACTTGGTGTTATTTTTTCCCTTAATTTTTGTTAATGGCGTAAGCCTACTTTATTGTATTGTTGCTGATTACCACGGCAACAATTTTTGAATATTTCAGTAACGATAGGAGAAACCACTGGTCATCACAGTACCAGTTATTATGCAATAATATGTATCCATAGAAACAATTGCTGAACATTTTATTAATGATAGAATGATCCACTGGTAACCATAGCAACAATTATTGTATATTTCAGTAATGATAGGAGGAGCTAACATCATACGCGCCGACATATCCACCAGGAATGGAGTGCTACACCTTATTGACAGGATTCTACTGCCAGACGACACAGAGTTTGAAACCAAAGCTGCTCTCCCGCCAGGCGTTCCCCTACCTCCATGAGAAAGTGCCAGGTTCAGGACCTTTTTTAAAAAATTTAGATGTGATTTTTTTAAACTTTACGATAAACATTTGTACGCGAGCTATAATTAAGGTTCCACAGCTCTTATGTCCAGCTGTCTTGGTCACAGTTTACCATGGCCAGCTGCGTCTGCATTTCCTGTTGATTTTACATCATTTTCAGCGCAAAGGCTTTTTCCTCTTTATTTTCAATATCTGCATTATGCAATAATAAGGCAGCTTGACTAAGATAATATATGAACATAATTTATCTTCTAAAACATTAAATTTTCTTAAGAATACTTACAACTTAACTTTTTGTCAATTTTAAAATTGAGGTCGGACTGGATAAGTGCAAGATGTGAAATGTAAAAATAAATGCCCTTAATGATGCCCTGGGTCATCGCAAGCAAGTGTTTGATGTCAACAATAAAATTTGTGAAGAACGCAGAATCTGATACTGAGGGGTTATGTCATTAAGAGAGACAATATTACGAAAAGCGATAAGGAGGAAGAGGAACATCCATTAGCGTATTTTAATTAGAATTTGGACATGCAAATTTGGACACACGTGTATCTTATCAGAAGGTGTGAAATGTAAGAGCAAGGTCTTTAATGTTAAACTGGAATTCGGCTGGAATTTGTATTGTAAATTGAAAGACACAAGTCACGTCAAACTGTTATATAACAAACTTTACTTTTCTTAGAAACTCCAGTACTTTCACGGAACTATAACGTGATGAAATTTACTAAATAGTGGCGTCATGCTTTTTTTTCTTTCCTTCCTGAGGCTTGTTGAAGTTGCCTCAAAATACAAGGTGTGCGAGTAATTTTGATCAGATCAGAAAAAGAGTAGAATAACTTTGTTGGACGGATTGAATGTACATATAAAAATACATCCGTCTGTTGTGATACTTTTAAAATTGTTACATGGCCAGAACCAGCCGACGTGCTTGATAGGTTAAATGAATTTGACACATTACATGTACCTGTATAAGGGACCTCATGTCCCCTTTTACTAAAATATTTTCAATTAAAATCAATTTCACAACATCGTCAGTATTAATTTTTTTTATAAATAAATGAAAAAAGCGGTTTTTTACCATTATGTATAAGTCAGTTTATTTACGTGTCTTCACTCAAATGCTGGTTTATGATATCAAATATCATTTAGATTAATATCGGTTCAGGTGGACACGAATGGTATAAAACTATTTTATGAGTCACGGGAGGCATCAACTACATCAAAATGCCGAGATTAATATAATCGGAAAAGTTGGCACAAAATCCTGGAAAATACGGGCTTCAAGCACAAAAATATACAAAAATTTATTTCGCAACCAATGTGATACAGAAGAAACAAATGTACTTTTTTAATTTGAGCAAATTTAAGGGGAAGAAAAATGAAATTATCCTAAACCGTTGTCCACTATTTCCTTCTGTACTCGTGACCCTAAAGGATTCAGCCGATAACCAACCTAAATTGTGTTACAAGCATTTCCCTTCGTTCAAGGTACCGTCACGGCCGGCAGAACGACCGCTGTTTAATTCGGGTTGTCGAGATGATATCATCGCTAGCTGCCAGCTTGAAAAACGCAACGGTGGAATATAATAACGCACCACCTAATCCACGATACATATCTCACCCGTTACGCCCGGTGCCGATACTCGATCTTTTGCCCCCCTTCCGTTACCGCTTACATCGTTGAATTTTAAACAAGCACTTAGTGCTACATTGATATAATAATGGAATTTTCATGACACATTCATTGTTTACTACAACGGTCCATGCATTCTGTCATACGTCCATTGGCCGTGATTGAATGACAACAGTGTACAAGAGTGGTATTAGTACTGGGCTAGAGTTTTGGATCCACGAACTGTATACGGTTAAAATGCGATGGTTTGTGAGACTATTGTTGTTACATTCCTTGGTGAGTCTGAGCCTAGGAGACCACGAGGCGGTCTCAGAATACGTTCCTACTACCGATGGCAGCACGTTCGACGGCTATGCGGATTACGCACCACCCGGCCTACCGAGTGGGCCTCCCACATTGCCAACGTCTCCGCAGGTGCCAGGATCTGCCGGGATACCAGAGGGTTATATGCTTGTATACGCTGATCCCAACAACCCTGGGTATTACAACCCTGCTGGATCAGGGGGCCCCACAGCGTACGTACCAGTAGGACAGAGTCCCAGTTATCCTGGGTATCCAGGGTATCCTCCACAAGTTCAAACTTCACCAGTGGTAACAGTACCGCAAACCAATGGTTATCCCGCTGTTGTCCAACCAGGACAAACTCAAACAGTGTACGCGGCCCCGCAGGTCCCGGGGTACCCGGCTTATGTTCAGACGGGACAGGGCTCGCCAGTAGCAGTTGTGCCACAAACCCCTGGGTACCCAGCAGTTATCCAACCAGGACAGTCTCCGACTATATATGCAGCACCTCAAATTCCTGGCCATTCAGCAAATGCCCAACCGGGACAAACAGTTCCATTGGTCGCCGCCCCTCAAACTCCAGGCTACCCAGCCTACGTCCAACCGGGCCAAGCTCAGCCTGTGTATGCGGCCCCACAAACCTCGGGTTTTCCTGCCTATACACAAACGGGACAAACACCAGCAGTGTACGCTGCGCCACAAACTCCAGTATATGGCACACCTGCACAAAATCCGCCTGGATATCCCAACTATGGGCAACCAGCGCAAAACACGCCAGTTTATGCCGCACCGCAGACACCAGGGTATGTTACATACGTTCAACCGGGACAAACTCCGCAAGGTTATTCTGCGCAACAGAACCCTACTGCACAGGGACCTGTGTACGCACCCCAGGGTGCTGCCTACGTCCCTTCATATAACCCATCGCCACAGAATATACAGGGGCAGTACGCTACTCCCAACATCCAACTACCAAACCAGCAGCTCCTGGCACCCCAGGGACCATACCAAGGTCCCAGTAACGGTCAATACATCCCTCAGAATGCAGTACAGGGACAGGCGCAATACCAGCAGCTACCTGGACCCCAGGGACCGTACCAAAACCCTAATACCGGACTGTATGTGCCAGCAAATGGGGTACAGGGACCGCCTCAATACCAACAGCTTCCCGGCCCACAGGTAACGTATCAAAATCCAAACAGCGGTCAGTATATAGCCCCCAACGGCATGCAAGGATCTCCGCAATACCAACAATATAACGGACCAAATGGGCAAGCCCCCTACCAAAATGGAAATAATGGACAATTTGGACCTCCTAATGGCATACAAGGTCCCGCTACCATTCAAAATGGCCAACTTGGCCCAACAAACGGACTGAACGGACAACCCCCATACCAAAATGGAAATAATGGACAATATGGCCCTACAAATGGACTGAACGGGCAGGGCCCGTACCAGAATGGAAATAACGGACAGTTTATTCCCTCTAATGGCATACAAGGGCCGGCACCATACCAAAATGGTAACAGTGGACAATATATCCCTCCCAACGGGGTGAATGGACAGGTTCCAAATCAAAATGGAAACAATGGACAATTCGGCCCTCCCAACGGCATGAATGGACAGGCTCCATATCAAAATGGAAACAATGGACAATATAGTCCTCCCAACGGTATAAATGGACAAGCTCCATATCAAAATGGAAACAATGGACAATACGGCCCTCCCAACGGCANGGACAATATGGCCCTCCTAACGGCATGAATGGACAGTCCCCGTATCAAAATGGGAATAATGGACAAAACGGCCCTCCCAACGGATTGAATGGACAGGCTCCATATCAAAATGGAAATAATGGACAATATGTTCCTTCTAATGGTATACAAGGCCCCGCGCAATACCAAAATGGAAATAATGTACAGGGCCCATACCAAAATGGAAACAATGGACAGGGTCCATATCAAAATGGAAATTATGGACAGAGCCCATATCAAAATGGAAATAACGGTCAGTTTGGTCCTCCCAACGGTATAAATGGACAGATTCCGTATCAGAACGGTGATAATGGGCAATTTGGTCCGTCTAATGGTATACAAGGCCCACCTACATACCAACAAACAAGTAACGGCCAGCCGCCATACCAAAATGGAAATAACGGACAATTTGGCCCTACAAATGGCCAGCCTCCTTACCAAAATGGGAATAATGGGCCATATACACCTCCTAACATAGGTCCTCCTAATGGTGTACAAGGACCTGCACCGTACCAAAATCCGAATAATGGCCAGGCACTATACCAGAATGGCAATAACGGACAATTGGCCTCTTCTAATGGCTTAAATGGCCAAGCGCCTTACCAAAACGGCAATAACGGACAGTATGGGCAATCCAATGCTGGTCCTGGGCAGTCACCATACCAACAAGGCAGCAACGGTCCGGCGCCCTATCAAAATGGGAATTTCAATCAATCCCCTGCTAATATGAATCAAAATCCTTCCCAGAATGGAAACAATGGTCAATACGTGCCTCCTAATGGCGGACCAGGACAACCCCAGCCCCCATACCTCCCGGGAGCCAACATCCAAACTCCATACCAAAATGGCAACAACGGGGAGTATCCTCCATCTAACACCATGCAGGGTCCGTCTCAAAATCAACAGCCGGGTACTTATCCAGGGTCCTTTAGTGGTCTGTACAGTCAACCTAGGCCATTGCCCACAAATCAGGGAAGTCAGACTCCAGTTGCCTCGAATAAACCGACCCCTAATAACACGCAAAATAGCCAAGGTCCTCCTCAATACTATGATCCTCGGAGTCAGCAGAGCTATATCCCGAGCCCGAAGAGACAGTTTTATAACCCTGACACCGGACTACACTTTGATCCAGAGACAAGGGAATACTATACCAAGAATGTAGTTACAGTGTCATGATATGGTCGTGGTCTTGAACCTTATTTCCCAAAGATATCACTTTATTTTTAATCCTGAATATTTAATGTTGTTGAGTTGTACATTCTAAACACGTGTACTAAAAGAGATTTGTATTGAATGCCAATTGGATTGTAGTTTTTATTTAAGTGAGATGTGTTATTTAATTTTAAACTATTCCTTATAGTGGAGCAGAAAGACCTGTATGTGATTTGTGTGATTTGTACGCAAAAAAAATGCACAGTAAATTAAGCCCCATTTCTCATTAATTTTGGTGCAGGGGAAAAGGGGACACACACACACTGTGTTCCGAAGGTACTGTCCAACATTGCCAAGTGCACCTACTCCTAAACAGATTCCTCGCTATGCCCACCCCCTCACACTTTGCTGACTCCCATTCCCCCCGGTAGATTATTGCCAACGACCCTCTCTATCACGAGTTACTGACTACGGCGCCCTTCATCATCATAGATAACCGGCCACGCCCCTTCCAATCACAGATTGATTGCCATATCCCTCCTCATCACAAATCACTGGCTACGACCCTTGGCATCATAGATCAACGGCCACTCCCCTCCCTCTTACAGCTTGCTGGCTACGCTCTCCTTGTATAAATCTGTTACGTATAACACCAAAAACAATTTGGAGAACATCATGCTAATTGAATGTGTCTGAAGTCTTTTTATATCAAGTATATATCATTGTGTGCATCGTAAATACGGAGTGTTATAATGCATATTCTCTCTTTTCCATTTGTAATTTTTTACTTGTGTTTGCAAAAGAGTTGATTTAGGCACAAGATTGTATGTGAGAAAAAATAAAATATATTATATAATCGTTGCATCAGTTCTTGTGTAAAAATAACTTTCTATAGAATTGGTGTAATTTTTATCACATACAAGAAATCCAAAACACAATGTTGCAAACAATCAATGATCTTTTTTACAACAGTGTAGAATAATCAGTCGGTTTAATTTATCGAAATACAACAGACATTAGTTCTTAATTAACATAACATTAGTTAACATAAATGTAACTTGTAAGGTTTCATCTACCTGTGTTATTTTCTTTAAAGATTCTAAATACATACATATATATAATATACAAAAATCAAATTCCATTTTGATTAAGATTCAAGTTTTTCTGTTTTGATTGGATTATGATGCATGTCCTAGTTGACCTCTGACCTCAACTAGTCAGCTGACAGGAGTACATTTCATACCACGCTGAAATAGTCAGGGTTTCTCTACCTGTGCAAAGTGACCCCATGAACCGGGAACTTTAACAACACAGGTTACACATACACAATCTTAAACTGGTATTTGTGTCCTTTACACAGATAATTTTTAATAACTCCCATATACAGTACGAATTAAGTTTTAAAAAAGTTTAAGATAAAAGACATGCTGGACACTGCAATTTTACAATCTATTAAGTTTTTGTCTGATTTAAAATTGCAAATTACACGATTTGCATAAGTGTTAAGGCCAGTGCACATGGACACTGAGTGCATGACTGAATCATCAAAAGTTACAAAACCAAGTCCCCGCCGTGACTGTCGTCAGAATGTAGCTGTTGCTTCTCCTAATTACGGTTTGCCTTGACTTAATGAGCCCCTCAGAGCTAGCGTCAACAGCCTAATAACAGTGTTTTTTTACACAAGTGAGCCACGTTCATCAGTAGTTTCCTGAATTGTCTTTTGGCATACCAGTGAATCCACAACATCAGCTGCTGCGCCTTACATGAAGGAGAATTTTATATCGCTTCCACCATGGCGTCCTGTGCTATTCCAAAGTACCCTTTGAAGATATTTCCAATATTGTTTTACATTCTGTTCAGCAGTGCTTTTGGTAGTGTGGATGGACAGCCAATTATAAAACAAGCCCGGTCGAGCAACTCTTCACAGACTAGACTGGCAACCGGTGCCAATCAAAATACATATAACAAAGACACCGGAGACATATTGCTGGGAATAGCAAACCATGTACCAACTCCACCGCCGGATGAAGACCCGGGTACCCCTGGTGAAGGGAGTGACCCTAATCTGCCTGGATATGTACCTCCAAACCAATACATTCCAGGTCTACCAGGGTATGCACCGACTGGACAGTACAATCCCATTCCCCCGGGGTACGTACCCATCGCATCAAACAATCAAAACCCATTGGGCTACGCACCTGTAGGACAATATAGTCCACCCGGACAATATACGCCACAGGGACAATTCAATCCTACTCAACCAGGTTTTGTTTCTCAAAATCCATATAATCCAAGTATGTTTGGATATGTGGATAACCCACCTGTGGCGGGTCAGAATGGTTTAGGGACAATTACGGACCAAGCGGGATCAAACACTGGACAAGGTGGGCCAAATGGACAGGACAATTTAAATGTAGGTCAAGGTGGGTCGGGCACAGAGCAAGATGGATCAAGTGCGGGACAAAATGGACAGCTGATAGGACCTAACGCCGTCCCACAGTATTTTAACCCCCAAGCGCCTCCCCTTGGGTCCCCAGGGAATGTGCCACAACAAGGACAGTACCCACCTCAAGGACAAGGGCCAAATACCCCGGGGTACATACCACCACAACAACAGCCAATACCACCGGGGCAGTTTGCACCGCCTCAGCAACAAGGTGAATATCAGCAATCAAACCCTGTCCAACTACCACCAGCTTTCCCTCCTCAGGGTCCTCCTCAGGGTCCATACCCGCCTCAGCAACAACCGCCACAGGGGCAGTACCTTCAACCACCAACAGCTGGCCAATACGAGCAACAGCCACCGCAAGGTCAGCCTCAACCACTACCACTCCCTCCAACACAGGGGCAAAATCTGCCTCCTCAACAACAACCTCAAGGTCAGCTTCAACCGCAACAACTTCCACCAACACAGGGGCAATATCTGCCTCCACAACAACAACCACCACAAGGACAGTACCAGCCTCAACCATCAGGGGGACAGTATCCACCTCCAGGCTACCAGAATACTCCAACACAACCTGCGCAATACAGCGGGGGCTATGGCGGCACTGATCCCTTCCAAGCAGGCGCTCAGGGCTATGCTAATCAGGGCGCTCAGGGGGCGCCACTTTATGGTGGCCAACCCACCCAAGGGACACCTGTATACGGGGGACAAAGACCGCAAACTGCACCTATATACGGAGTTCCAAATCAGAATGGACCACAAGGGCAAAACTATGTAAACCCTGCTTATAGCCAAGGGCCCATATATGGTCAGGGTTCACCATACGGTCAGGGGCCCAACAATTTCCAAGGACAATATACCGCGAATCCTAGCCAGCTATTCCAAGGTCAGTTTGGAACAAATAATGCTCAGTTTGGTGGCGTAAGTGGCATTACTTTCACTGGGCAAATTACCGGGGTTATTTCCAACGCTCAAAATGGTCAAACGTCCCTTCAGATATTTTTCCCTTCTTATTCGGGACCTCCGCCGCAGTTCTTTGACCCTAAGAGTAGGTTGTATTTCTCCCCTCACTCCGCCCGGCAGTATTATAACTCACAAACTGGGATTTATTATGATCCCGCTACCAAGGAATATTACAGAAGGCAAATTGTGTGACCAGTGACCAGATATACTATTGAACAATTCCTGTTCCATATCTACATTTTTCATGGGATGGCAAACTTTACGTGCAAGATAATTCACGTAGGGCATTCTACTTTTTATTTTATTTACTCATAATGACAAAATGGATGAATAAGCAAAACACTTTTTTGTACAGGGAAATATGCGATATTACTGGTTCGACTGTGCTGCCATCTTTAGATTAAATGCGAAACGTATATATTGGAACCTTCATATTTTCATTCATAAATGACTTTTCCCCATGGAGTCCGATATTATAGGATGTCGGTGACGTCAGTTATTTTGAACGTCATTTACTTTAGTTTATCTTGAAAACATTCACTCCTACAGTAGATATTGTAGCAGCTACAACTGAAGGATAATTAGCATGGATCACGCGTATTATTTAATTTACGTTTTCACTTTATTTACTGTAGATCAAGAAACACTGGCCCGTAGTGACTGGTTTTACCCCTTAACCAGACAGGTAACCCAGCCTGAAAAACGATAAAGAACCTAGTTCAAATTATGATTTGGTTTTCGTATGGTTTTTCGAACAAAACGGCGCTTGTTTTGCCATCCCCGGCCCCCTGCGTCTATGACCGGATTGGAACATGTAGTACTTCAAAATTATCATGCTGTTTTTGGTTGAAATGTTTTTGTTTTCGTAGGTTGGCATATACAGTGTATAGATTATACTGTATAATCTACCTCCTCGACTGTTATTGATAAAAACAAAATAAAAAATAATAATGATAATAAAGAAATCATGAAATGACAATTGTATTTTTCTTTACACTGACTGCGTAATGATCACTAGCTTTGCACAAAGCCTCCTTAGTAAACAAATAGATCTACTTCCTGGAAACTCCAAGTATATTAAGGTATACCCATATACGTGTATCAATATTCGCCTCCCCTTCTCCAGTAGCACCACAAGACATGGGGACGAGCAACTAAGCTGTTTCTACCATAAGTTTGCCAGTGCTGTGTTCCATTCATACAAAGTATAGGAGGATCGTACTAGAAGTCTTTGCACATAAATAAATAAATAAATAACATCGTAATATTTAGAGCGGTTTAATACATCCTTTTTTCGCCAGATTTCGATCCCCTTAAAATTAGTCGAAAACTGAAAATAAATACCTTGAAATAAAACCAAACGCCTGTGATCATTGCAGAGAGAAGAAAAATGCATTAGTTGATATATACTGCACAATTGTAACAATTTGGGTGTTTTTACTCTGTAGCACTCGTTATAAAAATCTACTTTCATTGAATGTACTTGAATCAATTCGCTCGTTGTATTTTCTGTTAAGACTGCCACTGATCAAGTTCATTAATATCGGGGGAGATTGATTTGTTTATCAAGATTAATTGAGCATCAACGGCGTAGATAGATAATGACAGCTTTTTCAGAAAATTAAATGAAACTTTATTTATCTAAAGTTCAAGACAGTGCTTGATATACAGTATCAAACGGATATATCAGAGCCCTTGGGAGATGCTCCGTGTTCCGAATGGAAAACCTCAGTATACGACCAGCGCGGATGGCAGAGTCACTAATAAATTAAATATAAAGTAGTTTCCTCAATTTGGATGATTCTGTTTTCCAAGGAGAAGAACCTGCACTTCCACGTGAAACAGAATTATTATCACTGAAATGTAATCAAACTGCAGTTAAAGAACGTTATTAACGTGCATAAACAAGATTGTCTCCGGTCATTATTCTCAGTTAAGAGCCGAGTACCACAACACTGCTAGGAGTTTTAAAAGCTGCCCTAGACCCAGTTTCACACACAAAAAACTTAAGTCTGTCGTTATTAGCCACTGGAACTGATTTTATGTTTTGTAAAACTGGGGCCAGAAATATGAATGTAACGATGTTTATATAAATTGATAAATTAAATTTATTGATATATATTAATAAATTTTGTCAGCAGGTTTATGCATTTTATTGTCCCCAAACAACACAAAATTTTTAATATATTAAAATATATGAATGCCCTAGTGATGGCAATTTACCAAAACAATATGTATATCTTCACTCATAGTCGCTGATAGTGTTTTATCAATATATCAAACCTTAATTTCCCATGTTTCTTTCTGTGCAAGAAAGTGGATGGAATAGTTTTCGGACGTGTCAGCTCCTTATCTATTTCACCACTCCTCAAGAGCTGCTTGGGAGCATTCTGTTTTAATTCCTAAAGTGGCTATTATACACATATTTAGACACACTTTCACGCTTCAATTTGCTAAAGATTATCACCACATCGAGAACGCTATTTAGTCACGTGCATGGGCATGTTCGAGGGTTAAAAGAGGGTGTCCTGTCACAAGTCGCATTCTCTCGGACCAATATTTCAAACTGAATGAAATAAAGGTTATGAAACCGCATCTTTAATAGCCGTCTTTAATACACCCTTTATACCCTCTGCAAAGTGAAATGAACTCCAAATGCGTGACTGTGTTGAACCATGCAGTTTGGGCATCATTATCAGATAACAATGTCATTCCTCCCATGCAATTTACATTTCAGTAAATACTTATTAAAAATTACCATACCGTGTGATAAGGCTCAAATCCGTATAAAGGTATTCTAACTGTGGAAGCATTGCGCATACAAATCACGGAGGAGGAGAGAGAAATAAGCAAAAACACGTTGATAAAACACAGAAAAGACACGATGCAGAAAGCCAGTCGACAGCTGACCATTTTGGTAAGCTTGATATTCGGATCCCACGTTCTATCAGCGACAGCCCAAACGCCGCCTTACTCCAACAACCAAGCTGCGTACGGCCCACAGTACGGCACCACACAGTACAGCGTACAATCCCCAGCGCACGGTCAGTATAGCGGGATACAGGGTGCGTACAACCCTAATGCGTACTCCAACCAGGTACCGCCGAACCAACAATATTACCGTCCATCAACGCAAGGCCAAGGGGTCCAATATACTTTACCCCCTCAGTATTCAACTGGCACGCAGTACAGAACACCAACTTACGGCGGTACGCAATATATTACGCCCAACCAGTACGGTACGCAAACCCAGTACGCTACGCCTAACCAATACGGTACGTCTCAGTATCCACTTCAACTGCAGTACAACTCACAGACAGGGCTTTATTTGGATCCTCAAACGGGCATATACTACAGACGTCAGTACAACACGCAAACGGGACAGTTTGTAAACGTACCTGTGAATAGGCAGTATGGACAGTCCACACCACAGTATAGTGGACAGTACGGGAGACCAGTCTACTCCGGACAGACAGGGCAGTATAATCCACAATACACTTCCCAAGCTGGACAATATAACCCACAGTATACCAGACCGACAGGACAATATAACCCACAATATACAACGCAAACAGGACAATATAACCCACAATATACAACGCCAACAGGACAATATAACCCACAGTATACCAGACCGACAGGACAATATAACCCACAATATACAACACCAACAGGACAATATAACCCACAGTATACCACACCGACAGGACAATATAACCCACAGTATACCACACCGACAGGACAATATAACCCACAGTATGGTACACGGCCTGGACAATATAACCCACAATACGGTACGCGGCCAGGACCCTACAACCCACCGTTCAACACCCTGCCACCATTCATGCCCAACGATCTGGGAAGTGTCCTGCAGAGACTGGGGACGTTTACTGCCGTCAACCTCATACAGAGTGCTGGCCTCTACAGCACCATTGCCAATAGTCAAGGTAGGTTGCGTTGTACATCATTACTTGTCTATATAGATTCATTTTATTCATTCAGACAAGTTAATGAGATGTGGTAAACATCATTAGTTTTTGTTTTTTTTTATTTAAAAGCCAAACTCTTCTCAAAATGTATAGGACTAAGATTGCTTAAATTTATTCTAAAAGACATCAGTGGCGTTTATGACAAAAAAGGCAAAAAAAACTCTATCTAAAAGGAAATATGTAACTTCAAATTCGAGACGGCATAGTCCTTTTAAATAAAACGTGTGCCCTCTCTTCTCACTGAATTCACATTATTCATTTAAAAAACCCTTTGATCCATTGTGCACTTTCTGCCTCCGCCTTAAACCAAAACTTTCTAAAAGGTTATATAAAACACCATTATTCTTTCTTATTCCCTCATACTTAACTGTGTTTTCAGATCCATTGACGCTATTTATCCCCACGGACGCCGCGTTCAACCGTCTCCCCCAGGATCTCCTTCAGAAGATCACCACTAACCGTACAGAGTTAGCCAAACTTCTCTCCTACCACGTGGTCCCCGGGGCGGTCACCTCTCAGGACCTCAGTAACGACCTGGAGGGAGAATCGGTGGAGGGAAGCAAAGTCAGGATCAACATCTACCAAAATGGAAGGGTAAGTGGTCAACACACACACACACACACACACACACACACACAATTTAATCCCAAGCATATTTAGAAGTTACTGTGTTAAAAGTGTTAGAAATGGGGAGTGCTGAATACTGCACATCCAATGGAGGGTAGAAGAAACAGGGACAGAGAGTACCCGCCCATCTCTTAGGGCTCATTCCAATTGGAACTGTCGTTCTAATTAGATCGATCCAACTCGCTAAATGCAATCAGATAAACAGATGAATACAACATCCTCAATCCGCCTTTAAAAGCATGCCTAAACTGCCGTGCTATACAAAAAAATTTATTAAATATATATTTTTCAGCTATAAAGAAAAATAGTTGTTCATCTGCAAAACGGTGTTTGAACCATCTCACAGGCAGAAAGCAGTTAAAAGGATAGTGTGAAGAAGATTAAAAAGCATTTCTAGAAAAATGTGAATGAGCACTCCAATTGTGTGATCACACAAAAACCCTTTGTAATTTTAAGAATTATAGTCCTTATGTTCCTTATGCTAGAAAAAAATCAGAAAACCCAGCTGATTTCATTCCGACTGAATTTACATAGATTATCTTCTTATCATATATCCCAGGGGTAAATATGGGGCACTTTATAAGTTTTGAATGTTTATTTTGTGAAACAAGAACTAAATTCTACCGCTGTAATTTTTCGTGACAATTTCTGTTCAGTATCGCTCCCTTCCAAAGTGAGATAAACGCAGATAAAAAAGGCAGTGCTGTAGTTTTCAGCTGCTACAAAGGATCATATCTGCGTAATTGGTACGTTCGCGCTGGGAAAAGATATGAATAACCAACGCAATTTCATTCACGCTATCTGAAATTTGAAATGACAGTATAGTGTAAATCCATTTATCAGATTAATTTACAGCACTAATAATGCTCTTTACCATAACAGTTTGGCTTGTAGTACTTTTGGAAATATGTAAAAATTGTTTTGATATTTCATGTGTCAAAATGCAGTCGACCTGATAATCCGATACAATTTTTTTAAATTGTTCTTTGAAAAAATACGGTAAATTGCTTATAACTCATCACTTTTAATTTCGAATTATCGTGTCTCGAATAAATCCTGGGAAACAACTGATATTAATATGAATCAATTATAACGTGAACAAATTTCCCGGTCCCATAGCGTTCGAGTTATGAGGAGTCTACTCTATATATACATGTATATTCAACAAACCATACTTTACCTTACAGGTTATTACAGCAAACGGGGCTCCAATTGTTGCTTTTGACCGCATGGCAACCAATGGCGTCATTCATGTTATAGACAAAGTCATGATGCCCATTGGAACCGGAGACGTCTTTGAGGTGGTTGCCAATGACTTCAACTTTTCCACCTTGGTGTCGGCTTTGTCCAGGACAAATCTAGTATTTGCTCTTAAAGGTATGCATGCGTGCGTGCATGTGTTATATATTCCTTTAATAACGTACTTAAGTTGGAGTAATCTTTGCAAATTAGCAAAATAATTATAATAATAAATTAATTAATAAAATAAAATAGAAATAAAATAAAAATAAAAATAAGTTAAATAAAAATAAATAAATAATCCCCTTTAAAGGAGTTTTTCTCCGTGCTACTTTTGAAAATTCAATGACATTTTCTTTCAAGTTAATGCTTTTTATCTTTCGTGAATGTCGTCGGACTTATTTTCAGAGTGTACAAATAGTCCAAATCATATAATTCCTTGAATATATCCTCCATTTCCCCGTAGAACCGGGTCCATTTACGTTGTTCGCACCAACAAACGACGCTTTCAACAACCTCCCCCCGGGCCTGCTGAATGCACTCATGTCCGACATGAACGCGCTGACGGAGGTTCTGAAGTACCATGTGGTATCAGGCACCGGATACAGTGCAGGGTTTTCGAATGGGCAAATGGTCGACACGATGGTACCAGGAAAAGCTTCTAGGGTCACCATATATGGTCCCAATGGTGAGTAAGCTAAGTTGTGCGAATAATTAGCATATATTTAAAAGATATGTGTTCATTTAAGCAGAATTGGGAATGACTGAAATACGATATCTTATTGTTGGCTATAACTCGGATATAGGGGCAAGCAGTCAGCAACCGTAATCCCTTTCAATTGAACATTCTAAAGGTCTGTTCTACGAAAATGTTTGAAGTCAAAACTGTTAATAGCCGACACATCTAATACATATGTTATCATATGTTCTAAATTCTGTCAAATTATGCCACAATTACATGTATAACATGATAGTTTTTGCAATTTCATAACCCTTCCATTAAAATATATATATATATATATATATATATATATATATATATATATATATATATATTTACCATAGCTGTATTAATGTGCCAACCCACTTGCGGCACTAATTAACTGGGCATTATTTGTAGCGGCGAAATCGAGTGTTTTCAGATGGTAATTTCAACTTTGAAAAGATCATGCTTTTTTGAGTTGCGCAGATATGCTTGGCCGTTTGCATACAGGTTCCTTTCTGTCACAATTGAATGAAATAGCTTGGGTTGTAAAGTGAAATATTGGCGGAATTACAAAACAACATTTACCATAGGATTAAAGGTTATTTCTCGTGGCCTATCTGTAACGTGACAGAGAGTCTCCCATGACATAGAGTCCGCTTCCCATTCATTTGTACAAGTAAGCCTCAACCAAGATTTTGGCCCACTTAGGTCAGGCTAACCCTAACCATTATAACTATATGGAGGGCGGACTTTCTGTTACACGGACCCTCAGTTTTGCTACACCGGCCAACTGGGTCAAGTAGTTGTCATGACGTCTCGTGCTATCACCTTATAAAGCTTCCTGGTTAACAGTATCCACTTATCTCTTCATCACACGGTGTGCAGTAATTCTTCAGATCCATTTCGCGATAGCCCAAAAAGCACTAGCGCCAACGCAAAGCGGATACAAAAGCAAATTTAACTAAGGAGAGTTAAAAAACAATTTATTTAGTAAATTTGTTATTATCAGAACGTAAATAAGTGACCATATTGTACATGTCGATCCACCACCTATGGACCTTGATCGCCTATCATTTATCTTAAGACCGTGAATATTTTTAATAGGAGGGAATATTTATTACATAGGTTTCAAATCTAAAAATTATATACATAAAAGAACCCGGTGTGACGAAAAAGAGGGTCGGTTCATCCTCCATTAAATTCATACCGGTTGGGGTAAGCACGACGGTGACGTAAATAGGTGAAAATCTAGGGCGGCTCTCACCTGTGCAAAGCTATGTGAACCCGACTCTCTGTCGAGGAGGGACTCTCTGATACGTGACACCGGGGTACAGTCAAGTGTGATATGGTGCCAGGAATGGCAGTCCTAGTTTAGAAGTCCGGGTCCCATATGATGAGTATTGATTCGGTTTAGTCGTAGTATTGGCGTGAGTATATCACTATATGGGACATATGTCACCTGTAAAAACTAATGGGGAACGGGCTACGGTTTCTAGCGGACTACCATTCCCGTCACAAAACCTCGCGTTATGGCTCCAGCTGATTGTGCTGAATTTGCCCTCCTAACGCATTTAACTTTTGGTTGAGTTCCTTTTGTAACCAGGCTTTATTTCTAACCCCGGATGCTAACATGAGATACTAGCGCTATTTTTCTATTGACGGTATTGGGGAAAGATTATTTTTATTCAAAATCTATTAAATCCTTTCCCACGTGATACTAATGGTACTATTATTAATTTCAATTTTTTTTTATAAAAGACCTTTTTGTATGCAACACTATTTGGTATTTTTTCATATCGAGATAATGATATATGAAGCGTAAGAGCCATGTTGTGAGAAATACACTATTATCACACCCTGGACCTTTTTCTGTTTCTTCATATTTCAGATTCAGATCAAATTGGAAGGTCTGGGATGTAGATTCACGTTTAAATAAAATTTTTAAGCAGTCATTCCACCTGTGTGTGAGTATGTGTGAATCTGCGCGTTCGTGAATTTGCGCGTGTGTGCTTGTCTTTGTGGGCACACTTGTGTGAGTGCAAAAATGTGGTTTTTGTAAGATTTTTTTTTCTTTAAATTTTATTCGACATCGATTCATACCGTTATTCGTACAGGGAACTTTCCTCTCCATTACAGGGCCTGTGAGAATCAATGGTGCCCGGGTCCTCAAAATAGACATCCCAGCCAGCAATGGTGTCGTGCACGTTATCGACACGGTGCTGGTCCCCCCGCGCCTTGTAATAGAGGGACACAACCACGACGACGGCAACACGATGCTACGGGCGCCACCTGGCGTCATTGTCTAAAGCCCACGCCTGCGCGATACTGCGCGGTTACACACAGTGAATTAAACCATCATTGAACCAGAAATGCACGTTATAAATTAATGACGATTTGATCTGAATAGTTGTTGCATTAGTGCGCAGTTAGGAATTATTGAAGAAAAGTTGATATTGTCCTAATTGCATCAACTTTTTTGGTGAAATTCTGCCAACATTATATGTCATCTGGTTAACCTTGTGTTTATAAACTGTGTGAAGACGCGTTGATAGTGAACAGTCGTTTTTATTTCTTTTTAGGACAGATATGCAGTCAGACAGCCCAGCTAACATGCGTAGATTTTTTTCTATTTAACATAACACTACATATACTTTCTTTTTTAATTGTAGGTATTGTTTCTCTGTGTTGTAATGCAGACTATGTATTCCTGAAGAATTAGATTACGTTTCGTGCTTTTGAAACCTTTTTAACCACTTAACGCTTTAGGAGCTCACTAACCAACAACATGTGTATAACACTGGTACAGGTCGGCAGTTCGTCTTTGTCTACATATACTAAGTAACACTGTTGCATACATGCATCTTACCTAACAAAAATGTTTTAGACATGTGTTTTATCCGATAGGAACATGTTGACTCAGATGATGCAGGATACTAGCAGTCGTGTATACGGCATAACGTCATCCGGGCTCTTGAAGCAGTTTGCTTTGAACAAAAACTAATCACTACATCTTTTCAAGATATTTCATCCCAACGAGAAAGAAATTGAGAAAAAAGAGCAAAGGAATGAAAAAGAGAAAAACTTGATACGCAGGATCTCTCTTTAATATCTATCCATGTACGAATATACTTCTTAAGCTGAAAATAAATGCCAAACCACCATTTCCTAATCGTCTGCTATATCCTAGACGCCGAGCAACATCCACTAAGTGCTAATTTTTTGATAATATTTAGTTGTCTTATAGATGGCATGTACTTAGTCTATTTGACTAATCTAATGTGTGGCGTTTTCGTTTCTCCGCCGTTCCAGGCCCATATCTGATCAACAACGTTCCGATCACAGAGGAGGATCAGCACGCTAAAAATGGCGTCGTGCACACCATAGAACAGGTGATGATCCCGCCAAATTTGTACCTAAACCCAAACCCAGACCCCATACAACAGTTGCTCAACATGGTACCCAGTAAGTGAAGCAGGACTGAAAAAGGACGCATATTACTTGTAAGAGCTGGGTTTTAAGATCGAAATCCATTTATTAATTTATTTACTTACTTTTGAAAGCATCATCCTTTCGAAACTATGTCAAGTAAATCATGACTGGTAGATTAGAGGCAAATATGTCACAAACTTTGTTTTAACCATAGAAATAACATAGGCGTGTGTTCACTCATATGTTTAATGGCTAACAGCACCTATTTTAACGTATCTTTCAAATGAGGTGTTAGATTTTCTTTTTCATGTGTCTTAGCGATATATCAAATTGTTTGTTATATGCACATTTGCGTTTGAAATAAAATACTTTGTTTAGTTGATAATTAGTTGTTTTAATCATTATGAATTCCAAAAACAACTTTAGTAAAAGAAAGCAGTATGCCATACGTGCATCTTTCTTTTTCTGTATTCAACATGTTAAACAATGACAAAAACATTGAACATTCACGTTGATACAAAACAGATGAATTCAAGTATTTAATTGACATCAAGCAAAACAATTTACCAGCCAATTACTTGTGGATAGTATTGTTTATTACGTATTTGTATAATTATTACAAGTAGAGGAGTGAGTGCACATGGTTTTCACAATGTTGTTTTTTTTCTATTCCGTCAACATTAAGAAAATATCCATTCATATCCCACGCTCTAATTGGCACTCGCAACGTAATAAGAAGTGGATTAACAGTCAATCAACCATGCCCATTCAAATTTAACTGAGCCTCTAATTGCATTGCTTTTGCACATAGCTGCCATTGTACAATTCGTTATCTATGGGGAAGGGCGGAAAGAGGGGAAAAATGTGAATCATATCAAAACAGAGGGTTATCTACATAGTAAACAGGGCATCAAACATGATCCAATATCCCCGTTACCGAATTAATTCAGTGGCACATAAGGCTCAATTTCGCTTGACAGTTTAATCCTCCTTGGTGTTGGTAAGATTTAAGCTCATCTGTGTTTCATTTACGCAGAGAAAGTCTATCCAGGATCGAAAGACATCATCAAGAAAACAGCTTATTGGTGGTTAAATTTGAGAAATCACTGTAGCAGGTAATAAACTCATCAACTTCCTATCGAAATTGACCTCCACGAACATTGTGAAAAACACAGCATATTGAGTGCGCTTTGATATACTGTCCCCTCTCAAAGATCTAAAAATGCATAAAGCCGTCTTTATTTTTCGCTCACAATTTCTTGCGGCATATATAAATGTACAAATCGTGACTTTTAAGAGGTTTCGTTTGAGTCCCTTTCTCTTCTGGCGCAGAAAGCCGGCATGTACTCCAACCCCTTCTCGTCGGTTCTGGGGGTAGATAGATGGTCATACAAGTGCATTGGACAGAAAGTACCAGTGGGGCAACTGCACATGTACTGCACTGTCAAAGTGTCGTCTGCTTTTGTATAGACACGCGCGCACTCGCTGGCCGGGGCGCGATGACATGAAGACTGAAATAAAAAAGCAAATGTATTTTCATTGGTTGGTCTGTTGCTTTGACATCAAGCGCTGATGCAAACTGCAATAGTTTTCAAAACACGTCTACGATCTTAATCGTTTTCATAATAAATGCCAATTGGTGCTTTTATCATTTTATCATCAAAAAAGTGCTACTGTGCCATCCTGTACTAGAGGCCTTTAACAGTGTAAAATGGACGCATTTTATTGCTAATTTTTTTCTAAATTGTCCGACAGAAATTAATAATGAAGATAAACATAAATTTTACAAAGTTACACGGAAAAAATTAACTGCCACAAAATGAGTCATAAACCAAAGGAAGGCTTTCGTTTCCTTGAGAAAAGGACGTATAATTGATAAACTTTATCTTGGTAATTAAAGGGAAAATGTTGAAATTTCCAGAAAAGTAAAATTGGGTTTTACGTGTATAAAAGTTCCCCAAAGGTTCGTGCCAACTACATTCCGTGACTCAATGTGCAATGACCCGTTTCACAAAAAAATGCTGTGTTGTAAGAGCGTTTCGAATCTTCTCTTATTGCAGTTGGTGGTTGTGTGATTCAGATTCTCTGCCCAGAGATGCTTGCAATAAACGCCAAGAACAAATTCAATAACCCTTTATTTTGATAGTCCCTAATTGATTTACTCAACCCACTCTAGTGTATATTTTTGTAATGTAAACCTAATGGGGTTGTAAAAACTTTGCAGGAAATCTCTATTGATTAAATCACTCGACGGTAGCAACATCAAAACGCCTTCAACAGCCACTTTTGCAATGAAGAAATGCCGTAGCTAGTCAATCTGTTGAGAGATATAGTTTGAAATGAACATTGCCTTCCCATTTAAAGCAAAAAGGCATTAAAAGTACGTAATATCAACACAATTTCGCCGAAATTAAGTTAAAGTTTGCTCCACCTTTTCTCCGTAAAATATTGGAACACATTAACAGTGATAAACAGTTGATAGTTGTGACGTACTTCAGTTCTTCGTAGACTTAATTTTGTTTTCGTGTTATGACATAAATCCTTTAAAAGGAACACTAAAACGTTTCTACTTGTAAATATTTATGGAGAATTGGGAGGAACGCGAAAAATATCGCTTCGCTTTTAAATGTTGGTCGTCGTTTGTTCCATAACTGCATTGCAATGCATATTAAGGTCTAACCCTGTTAGGGTAATATTGTCGGCAAAATATCAATTATCAGTTATCAGCTTACTGAGTGTGCTGTCTGATGGCGAACTACATTTTCATTTTTAGTAAACGTCTAAACGCTCGCGTGGATGAAAACATGACAATTTGAAGGTTTTATGTGTAATTGACAACTGCCAGAAATATATCTTGATGTGTGTTCTGGATCAAACGTTATGGGCTTACTGGTAAATTACACTTCTCGCTTTGGGGGACCTTGTTTCCCGGAGCACATCCAGTATATTTTGGCCCCAGTAATGTAGAACATCTGACAAAACGCCAAGGGCTGGAGTTCGGTCAAGGTTCCTCTCTAAAAAAGCTGCCAATTGGGTTAACAAAAAACATCCACAACACCTGAATAGACGATTGGCACGTTGTGACCGACATTTCACGCAAGTTTTCACCGATTGAGCAAACGAGTTCTGTTTTACAAGGAATCCTCACTGTAATAAAATTGTTAGTATTACATGTTTTTATTAAATAACCGTGCTTGATTTTAGAAAAATTGTAAGCAAATTAACACTAGGTTTCTTTGCACGGAATATGTATGTTCTATTTCCTAAGGCGGCGATTTTTTTAAGAATCACAATATTGTCTTATACTCTAATTAATTAATAATTTAAGCACAAACACGCCTGACAAAACGTGCTGAAATATTTACTTATGCCCCTCCAAAAATAATATCAAGTTTATTTAAAAAGATGGGAGGAAAGAAGGTAAGATATAGTCAAAGTAAGATGCCGACAATTGCCATATGTTTGACTCGTAAAAAAATGACACTTACAATTATTTTTCCAATACAGATATCAGACAACCTGAAATAAAGGAAATTTGTTCCAGACAGGTAAACTTAATGAGACGCAGGTAATGTGTAGATTTTACGGTGCAGCACGGTTGCCAAGACCCAAAATGTGGCTGAATACGACCTTGACCTCTGTTTGTCTCTAGGGTACCGTTTAGCCATCCCAATCTCGCTTATCTATTAAACACTCTTCCATTTTAAACTAGTAATCGTGTACAGTTCCAGTGCCTTTGTGTTTACTCAGCTTGGTATTAACTTAAAAAAAGAAAGAAAAGCGATTATAAGATAAAAAGTGCATTCTGTACAGCTCGGTTACCAGGACCCCACATGTGCTTTCATGTGACCTTGACCCCGCTTTAATGTAAATGAGCAAGCTTACAAAAAGTGGTCTAGACAATAAAGACAGCATGGGTTCCTTATGAAACCCAGATGTTTTTACTCCAACGCACTTGCATTTTCGCGTGTGTTTTTCTTCAGGGGCAAGACGATCTAATTAGACTAATATGTCTACGACATTCAGTGTAGATAACTTACCAAATTAATTTGAGACAGAAATTTCTGCTCGCAGGTTCGAAAATGGAATGCTTTTGTTTTTCAAAAGGATGCACTAAAGGTACATTGAAAAACTGAAACTGATTAAGTGTTGGTTGGCAGTGTTCATAAGATTTGATGAATTTTTCTATTTCACAGCCAAAATATAGCAATTTATGCCTGAGATGCTGCAGATGGTAAATTGGCATTCTAGTATAAATGTGACCGTTGCATTTCATCAATTTTTTTATTTTTCTACTTCAGAAAAAAAATGTGATTTTTGTGTTCAGACAGATGACGAATTTCTTTTAGGAATTGCATAATATGTTTAGATCAGATGCAATGAAGGCCTAACCAGTCAAGGTTAGGCCAACATAACATGTACACATTTCCAGGAGCTATTAGCATTACCTTCAGCTGTCAGTCAGCTGTTCTATTATGTAATAGTTCCATAAACACGCTAATGACCATGGAAATCACTAATCATTTGCAAAGTAGAAACGTTTTTGTCTAATTTTGACCGTTCGCCGATTTCAACCGGATGACACCGCTCTCGCGTTTTTAGGTGTGCAAGGGACCAAACTATGTTGTTGAGAAGAATATGGTATTTTGAATGTAACCGAATATTGGGAAAGTCACACAAATCATTTAAAATGTTTCATCAATGCACCACTCTCTCTTTCTCTCTCTCCTCTCTCTCTCTCTCTCTCTCTCTTTGTCTGTGTGTGTGTGCTTGCATCTGCAGAAAGGCAATTGAATACACACACAGAAACAAAAATATGTTGTTGAGAAGAATATGGTATTATGAATGTTATCGAATATTGGGAACGTCACGCAAATGCATTTTAAATGTTTCATCGATGCACCTCTCTCTCTCTCTCTCTCTCTCTCTCTCTCTTTGTCTATGTGTGTGTGCTTGTATCCGCAAAAAAGGCACTTACACACACATATCAACGCACACGCGCTATTGCAACTCAAACACTCACACAAACGCCAACAAACGCTATCGCGCGCGCGCACACACACACACACACACACACACACACAATTTAATACGTGTACCTGTGCGCATGTCAGACCCTGGTACATACTGTCGCCTTTCCTTGCTACATATTTCTGTAAGAGGATCTGATCTGGGTCCTGGCAGTGGCAGTGAACGGCCAATACGCCCCCGGCAAACAGGCTTGCCCCCTCTACTTCCACCGCCGTCTCATCACCCTTACACTCACGACGACCTTTCTTTAGGGAACAGTAAGAATTTTGCGCGACAAATTTTTGGTCTGAAATAATATTTTGAAACATTTAGTAACGTGTTATTTTTGTGCCCAAGTGACATTTGTATATATCGATTTTGGAAAATTGTGAAAGCCTTCGTTAACAGTGAGGCAAAATTATACATGTTTCCGTAAAAAGATATATTACTTACTAAGAAAAGATGTAGGCACTAAAAAATTCGTGTTTGCAAGGTCAAAATTGCATTGCATTTTTCAGGTTTTAGTCTGTTATTCTTGTTAATGTGTAACATGTATTTATAAAAAAAAAATGGAGTTCGACATTTCGTTTACGAGAAGGACCTATTTTTAATAATACTGATAGAGAGATAGTTCTTGCTCTTCAACCTTTGAACATCTTTGCGTCTATTTTTACATCAATGTTTTGATTTCGTTTGCTAAGTATTTAGACTACGTGTACACAGTTAGTGCGTGCATTTCAGTGCATGACTCACCGTTATCCAACTTCACATACCAGGAGAGCTGGCGATGTTGGGCTTTGGGCTCCCCGGGCGTTGGGCAACCTCGCCAACACGGGCAGAAGTTGCCTTGGGGCTTCAGGAATGGGATCTCTTGGAGAGAATCGTCACGCATGCGCAATGCTACGCTTGAGTCGCATGGTCCTCGGCATTGCTGCAATATGCGATCATATAAATTATAATTACTATGATCATGGATCATAATTATGTGAAAATGCAGAGGCAAAGTATACAGTATACATAAAAACTTATGTTTCAAGTTAAAAATAAAAGATTTGTAAAACAAGAAACAATTAGCATTGGTTAGTTTTCTGAACAGTCAGTTTTACAAAGTATTCTTGCGCCATTATTTGCTATGATGATAATTTTTTCCTTAAATTTTCTCTCTCAAGCCCCCCTCCCCTCCTTGCCGTATTAAAATTATTTTTGTAAATGAATAGTAGTGTGTGAATTATTTCATTTTTTTTCACCATATTTGTAATGCATATACAGTTTTATCTTTTTAAATCATCATATGATATTAACAGAGTTAAAAGACAAGACAAAACAAGTTTCTCTTTTATTAATCTAGCTATTCATTCCTCTATTTATTTGTCGTTGAAGTTTTATTCATGTAAATGTGCCCTTCATCAATTTATTTCTGTGCAGTAATTTCCTTCGATTCAGCATAACAGTCGGTACTACACGTTCTTGGTACCCAAGAATAAAACTAACGAATAAAAAAGTTAACCGTTTTGTGAATTACAGTTAAGGATTATGAACGGGGTTTGGGGGGGTTATCAGGGGGAGCAGTTTCCGTTCGACTTTATTTCCAAATTTGCTAACATCAAACCTGTCATCATTGACAATTGCCAGATGTGGCGATACCCTCGCACTCCCTGCGTCCCCCACGCGGACACACACACACACACACACACGATCATAAAAAACGCGCCTCTTTACTAGCTTATTATCTCAGATTTAGAAATAACAAACAACCTGTAAATTCAAGAAAGAAAAGAATGACAACCCCAGTAAAAGCAACAGCCTTACCGCAGATCCCAAGTGGGGTTTTCTTCTGAGCGCCTGTGATTCTTTCGTCAACAGAAACAATGCCAGAAAGGCTATGAGAAGTCCACAGCAACTTATACGAGACATCGTGAAAATATTTTATCAGCGAATCCACTAAAAAGGATAGCAATTCTGCTAAACTGTGCTGCTCGGCGAAAAATATGATTCTCACGCTAAGATCTGATGATCTTTATCAAACGTCTTCCGCACAAAAATAGGCTGAATCATAAAATGCTGGTGTCAGTAGCACCGACCTCTTCAAACCCAGTGATAGTCAATTCCTTTTCATTGATGACTCGCGGCTTCTGACTTTCCGAGAATGTTCCCTGTTTCTTAAAAGCCACCGCGATGGGCGGGGTCTCACACTGAGGCTCCTTGTCATACTATGCGCACTGAAGGTCAGATCGTTTGTATGCTTTTTACAGGTTAATTAACTTCAGCACCTTGTTCAAATAAAACTACCGCGCCGTGACGGCCCATAGGAGCTTGCGCGTGCGCATTTCACCAGGCCCAGTGGCGGATATAGGAGGGAGGGGGGGGGGGGTAAGAGGGGGTCAGGGGAGACTGATCTCAGCAATGACAGATTGCTGAGAGATCTGGAGGTATGTCCCCAAATCGGAAGACTCACGACGAGATCGGAAAGGTTGACAGGTCTGAACTATAAAATGTGTTCCCATGAGAAAGTGGGATGGTAGGCCTACGTTATCATTGCAAGTGAAGGCGCCCAGTATGATGAGACGCCTATTTCCTTTGGCATTTTATGCTCTCTAGAATATTAATTTAGATTGTTTTCACTTACTTAAGCAGGCAGCGTTAACAAGAATAGAAAGAAAAACTTGCGCGTCAGTTTTTCCTTCGTGATAGATATTTTTGTAAGATTGCCATTGGTTGTATGTTGACTGTGTCAGGAAAAATCCGTTAGCGCGTATCACTTCTTCATACCTGTCAGTTTTAATATGTTCACTTGTAAATATACATGCATTATTCCTTGTTTTAATTTAATATGGTTATATAATTTCGGTTAAAATTGCAATATATAATCTTTTGTAATTAACTCCTTGGTTGAGGCTAGAATGATTCCTCATTTATGAAATCTCCCTGGGTCCTATTCCTACCCTGCGTCAAAAAAGTTTAGATATAAACAATAACAGTTAACTAGACGAACAAGGAACACGCCCTTTTTGCCTTAAAATGTCTAACCAACATGGGTCAGTAGAACACGAGGCGTGTCAGAGTGACCTAGACTAAATTTTACGTGCGTCTGGACGCGTTAGTAGCTCCGTATTTTTCTAAATAATCCAGTACATTGACGCCGCGTGAGTTACACCCCATGTTGACATGAACATTTGGATGACCTTGTCTACATTTTGGATTTGGATCTATCGATGTACACAAATTAAGAATAACAGGCAACATCCTCTTTTTTTATGATACATAGTTAGTCGCAACACTAACTATATTTCATAACTGTTGCGACAGTACTTAGACTAGCTATCATCACAACTTCAGAGTAAGTTTACGCCTTATAAGATCTTATAACAGATACTGATGAAAATGAAGAACCCTACACAATGAGCACAAATAATAACGAACTGAAATATGGAAAGAAACGCTCTGTTTTATACGGAGTTGACACACTTATTTAATAAGTCAATGTCCAATGACACACTTCTAGTTTGGGTGACTAATCTTATTTATAAAAAGTCATGCTCATTCTATGTTACATTGAGCTACAAATTTAGTCACTGCCTTTAATACGTTTGGCTCTTAAGGTTTAATTGCATTGGCAGAATCTGTTGGACAGATTTACACGTGGACGCGGCGGTAATCCACGTGAGGATATGTGTTATCTTAAAAAGTTCCAAATGTAATTTAACACGAGGGGATCATCTCACGTGGAAACACACGTGTACTCGCATAGACAAAATACCGCGTACACCCAATAACTTTTGCTATAATAATAATAATAATAATGATGAAAGTGCACCAAACTTTTGCTGTTTGGGAGTCCGATTTAATATTAGAGGCCACAGAGATGAGAACGATAATAATCCCTAAATACTTACTGGCACGATGTAAATGTAAACATACAATAATGACAATCTGGACAAACTGGCAGAGCACATGAGCTAATAGTAAACTGTTCTGACCTTGAAAAAACAAATGATAGCAGCAGGATGCTGAGAGCACCACTTTATTTAATTTCTGAACCAGATTTATTGCTTTTCCGTGTTACTTAAAGTGGTGCCGGGGAGTTTGATTAGTGCCAGCTGTGTGATATCTTGTAAGATTTTCTGCTCTCTCTCTCTCTCGTTGATCGGTTTCACAATAAAAAAACGTGTTCCGCAGTTATAACAGAAATGATGGCGAAATTACATTGTTTTCTTATTTTCCTGAGGTGGTAATTTAAAGGGAATCTTTCGAGTTTGCAATGTGAGCAAGTTTTGTGTTTCCATAAGAATGTGTAATATCATTTAATAATAATAATAATAATAATAATAATAATAATAATAATAATAATATTTTTTTTCTTAAAACCGCACTACACTACCGTCTCAGTGCTGTTAAAAGATAAAATTATCAGGGCAATCAATGGATTCCTGAACCATTTAAAAAGTGTTGTTTTAAAAAATTGAGTGTCAATATAACTCCTTCTAGTTACAAAAATCACAAAACTAGGAGAGCCACAAACAGCCCGGGCAGCTCAGTCAATGGCGCCCCAAAATTATCATTGTTAATTAAGGGATAACAAAATCAAAAGGTCAAATTGACGGATAATTTCCTGTTAGTGGATATATGAACCGATTTCCTTGAAGATCGCAGAAAAAACTCAAAACTAACAAGAATGCGTTAATTGCTTTATACATACATGTACACACACACACTTATAAAACACCCACGCTCCTCAAACACAAACGCGCCACTTAACTAGCAAATAACGACAGGTTTAGAAATTACAAATAATCAACAACAAAGCACCAGCCTTACCGCAGATTCCAAGTGAGGTGTTCTTCTGAACGCCTGTGTATCTTTCGTGAACAGAAACAATGCCAGAAAGGCTATGAGAAGTCCACAGCAACTTATACGAGACATCGTGAAAACCTTTTATCTGCGAGGCCGCTAAAAAGGATAACTTCAGTTCTGCTAAACGCTGCTAGGCGAAGACTGTGATTCCCAAGCTGTGTTCGTATGATCTTTATCAAATGTCTTCCGCATAAAAAATAGGCTGAATCATAAAACGCTGGTGTCAGTGGAACCGACCTCTTCAAACCCAGTGATAGTTACCGAATTTCTTTTCATCGGTGACTCGCGGATACTGACTTTCTGAGAATGCTCCCTGCTTCTTAAAAGCCACTAAATATTGGGCCGTGGTCTCACGCTGAGGCTCCTCTGTCACAATATTGGCACTGAAGGTCAGAGTGTTTTATGCTTTTTATGGGTTAATTAATCTCAGCACCTTTTTCAAAGAAAACTACCATGGCCCCTAGGAGCTTGCGCGTGCGTATTTTACCAGGGCCCCCAAAATGTGATCTCTATTTCACAAATCGCACAATCGCATAGGCCCCTAAATGTCCGTTTTGTCTTTCAAGAGATGTTTATGTTAAGCACAAAATACCACGATAAAAGACAATATCGATATGGTCAGCAGCGATTTTGTATTTATATATAAGACCCAGTTAATTGCTAAATCAACATTCTTTACCGGTATGTCGATTTCGCATTTTGGGTTCCCAGTAAAATACGCGCCAGCAGGTTCCTATGGGCCATGGTTGAAAAACTACCAGATGATATTTAAGTACTTTCAACCATTGCACTTGATTTCATTATCTCCTCTCTGTTACCCGTAGTTTGTTATCCCTTTAGTCATAATATTTTGAGTATACCTCTAGTGCCGTCTCTTATTGCAGATGCTTGGCTGTTGGTGGTACATGTAAGGGCCTCAAAATAACTTTCTGCCATCCACCAAGTTATTTTAAAATACTTTACAATGAGTAGGTTACCGATTGTCTTTTGTGTAATGATAATTAAAAAGATAATCGTCTCGAAAGAAACTTCATTCCGTCTTCGTAGAAAACACGTTTAGTCTCTTTATTTTTATCGTGTTTAGTTTGGATTTTGATATGGCACTTGGAAAATAAATTATGCAATTTTTATAATGAGCGACATTCTGGATTTCAGATCAAGAGAAATAACTTTAAAAGGCAGAGATATCTAGTTAACTCACGTCAGTTTTGGAAAAGTCACATTAGCTCTGGTAAAATTAAAACATATTGGTAATTTTCTGTTTAAAATGGTCTGTTTGACATAACTGGCCAGTAAATGTAATCCAAAAGACGTCACTAGAGCTAAATATTCCAGCAGGCACAGTAACGATGGTATACAACATCAAATTAATGTCAACTGAAAACAATAATCCCCTTGATTATATAAGTAATTTATGTGAAACTTTATAACACTTCATAGTATTTATATGAAAGCTAAAATAATGTCGGTCCATCGCCGTTGGTATGACGTTGACAGAAAACCACTTTCTGGTAACACAACGTTCACATGTTAATGTTGATTGGATAACGTTGCGACCACTTTTTTCACATTTTCGGGTTACACAATGTTGTTCTATTGACGTTGATAGAGCAAATTCTCCAGATTTTAATCTTTTTTTAACTCTGGCCATTTTTATTGGTAACACCTCTGTCGAATTTGAACAAGCTAAGCGTCAGTCTCTTTTTTTTTTTTTTAATTTGAAGATTTCTCCAACAGTGTAGGCCTATAATTTGTATAAAAATATCCTGTTTGATGCTGACGTTACCTGTTATTCAGTCACAGTCTGTCGGATGTATTATCTTTTGCAGAGATAACCGTCATAATACGACAGTGTATATTGGTAAATCCCTGTTTAAGCCATTTATAATTAATTGATGGAACGTAAACGGATTTGAAGATCTAGAATGTGGTAGTTGCGCTATTGAAATGCGCCAAGCTGTGATCTTCAAACGTCACAGCAATTTGAAGCGGAAATATTCTTTTTTAAAGTTAAATCTCACAAAGACGTACAAAAATTTCTTAGATTATATTTCTTATGTCATATATGTATCTTTTACATAAAAAAGAAGGTAAATATTTAACTCGTAACGCATGATTTTTGGAGGGGGCTTAATATAAATATTAAAAAAATCTGGCCATAAAACCCATTGGAGATCTCAGACGTAAAGTAATATCATAGCATAAACCACGAGGATTGACAAGCAATATCATAAACAGCTAATTACGGGTAATGTGAATAATCCAAAGCATAGGAAAACGTCCACAATTGAAACGCGTTGTTCTCAGTCCTACAAATAGTGGCTTGCGGTGCTTGTTTCCCATCTAGTGGCTCTACTACCGCTGTCACTTGTTCTATACACAGAGTACGCTCAACTCCTCGGTCTATAATAGTAATAACAATATTGCCGTAAGAGGGCGTTATGGGATTCAAATCCCAAAACGTTTGTATATGCTTCATATCACAGTCTTGGAGTGTTAGCATCAGTGAAGGGTAGTGCAACGTGACGCATTTATCGCGTAATTTTAATCGCCCGTCGTGGTAGAGCGCAAATTCATTTTCGGGTCTGACGCGGGAATAATAACAATCATAGGTCATGACTATGTAACCATGGTCATCCACCTCCAAGCACGCCCTTGATGCCGTGTTCATGACCTCTCCGAAGTTCTTGGCGTTCAGTGGAGGGATATTATGCTCCGGAATTATATTGTTTAGAAACCAATCAAAGGATTTGCATTTATGGCGGTCTGTGATCCACGTTTTACGGCTGCGTATCAGGGCAATATCCCTCGGCGTGAAGTCGACACGTTTGTAATCAAAAGCTCTCGTTGCTGCGTACATGTAGCGTCTATATGGCCCCATCCAAAGTTCTGCAACTCGCATTATATTTTTGGCAACAATCTTCTCCTTGTCCCCGTCAAAGCTGTATGAGAAGGGCTTGAACACGTGACCGACGTGTGCACACGGCACTGTCATCACGGACCCCCCGCAAAGCCACACCCTAAAAGCGAGTTCGATGTTCTCTCCTCCCCATATGTTCAGCCCTTCGTCAAAGCCGCCGATTTCTTGGAAATATTTCTTAGTAACGGCTATTGCACACCCGACCAGTGTAGGGGTTCTGTACGCGTCTGCAAATGTTTTGAGTTTCTTTAATTCAAACTCCGGGGTTGCCATCCAGACATACCTGAAACACACAACTGACGGTCAACCGACTGTGTTAAAGGTGAAATAAATCGTCATAAAAATCATCACTCAAACTTGCAGTGATAAAAACTAAGTACTTATAAAGTATTTGCGTTACGTAGACCCTATATACATTTTAATGTTTTGTCAAAGACAATCTAACCTAGAAAGCGTGTGCTGATAAATATTTTACGGACGGATAAAAAAGGATGATCATTTAGAAAACTTTACCTCAGAATCATGTTGAGGAAATTTTTAACTTTTCACTTCATGCCTTAAAAGATTTATACATCAGATAGTTTTAAACCCCGTTTTAACAGAGCATTTGGTACAAAATGATTCGCCCAATGGGAACCGGTCTAGATCTTTCATTACACGAGACTTTCTCGTGCATGACACCTGCTTATATATATACTCACTTCATGTCCCATCCAAAGCCTCCCCTCATACGATCAGCTCCGCTTCTATAGGCAATGGTCCATTGGTCGATTTCGTCCACAGCTGGCTGTACCACGCTGTGCGGGTTGTCCTTGAGGTATTGAAGAATAGGCTCCACCCACCCGTGGTTCACCTCAGTATGGGCATCGTGAAATATGATGACCTAGGGTGTTACAGGGTGAAATTTCTGTTACCTTTGTCACAGTTGAAATGTTTTGATATTACAACAGAAGCCTCAAAATTTGACAAAAACAAAAAGAAAGAAAAAACTTACAGGTATTACTACGAGGAATATTACATCATAAAATGCTCATATAGATATTCTTTCAGATTAAATATTTACAAAGCATTCTCTAAAGTACGCTGTGAACCTCAACAGCCATTGTTACTAGTATGAAATGCAATAATATAGAGACGGCTAATCTGTCAACAAATTCCCAAGCGGTTCAAAAGATTGAAAGCCTCATCGTTTACTGGATCGATAGCATTTATGTGTGTGCTCCCCGATGTAACAGGAATGGTTGTCCGCTTGGAACCGTAGTCCGTTCCCCATTACTTTGTACAGTTGACATTCGTCCCATATACAAACCCCAATACTCCAACTAACCCTAACCTGTACTAATCATATATGGGAGCCCGAACTTCCATTCCTAGGACTTTCATTCCTGTCACACCTGAGCCAGTCAAAGCCAAACCTCCTTTGATTTTTCGCACAAAAATCGCCTAAGTTACCTTTCAATATATTACACATCCCGTGGAAGAAACTCGTGCTACAGGTCCTTGTTTTAGCAATAACTGGTAAATACCTCTTAAAGGAGGAAAACGCACAATAGGAAGCTATATATTTGTTCGCGCGTCCATACATACCTCTCCGGTTGCTAAACTGGCTGCTAGCATTCTAGCCCGTATCAGCCCCTCCCTTTTAATACTTCGTACCAGCCTGACTTTTTTGAGTAGTCGTATATATTTAGTCAAAGGTTCCTTTAGATCTTCGTTTTTACTAGCATCATCGATGAGTATTATTTCTACTAGGAGGCGGCTTGGGGTTCTGTCTAATAGAGCGTGAATAGCGCGCAGTAGCATTGAGAGAGCTTCATTGTAGAACGGCATAATAACCGTCACGTTTGGCAACTTGTCACGGTCATACACCAGTCTCTTGCAGTCTTGAGACCGTGCATCGGGGACGTCTCTTCGAAGCGGGAGACGATCACTTAGCGTGACATTGAGATTGTACACAGAGTCGGGAGGGCGGGGTCGATCGGCGCTGAGGATTTCTTTCCGGATTTCGTCCAATCGCTCTTGAATGACACCGTCGTCCTCCGCTGTTAATGCTTTAGCTTTGAGAATATCTCTCCTTACTATCCCCACGTCTTGTGAATGTCTCCAATTTATCTGAGATTCCTGTTCGACTTGTGTTAAACAGTACATGAATAGCACTGTGCTAAGCAAAGAAAGGACTAGAAGGCGAACAACCCATTTTCGTATCCAGCCAGCTTGGCCGGACATCTTCAACCGGCGTGGCAACATCTTGGTCTCCACTACCTGTCCCCTTGGTAACCCAGGTATTTAATTAACCATCCAAGCCGTAAGTTAGATCTTAAATCCCCCATCGCCTTCAGCTGTAAGGACTAATTTTGTTCCCCGTCTCACCTGCCATGTGAGCCTAAGGTGTATTGTATTGTGTTGGTCTCTGTATAAAGTATTGTAGGGCGTAATAACTGGGTCACCACGCCTATTTATAACCTTCTTAGTCAGTTCGACATTGTAGCTAAACCCATGCACCCCGCAGCAAGCCTTTGAAATATTAATATTTATGAATATTCTTTCATATAAGCTTTTGGGTTGCAATAAACACACGTGTTGGAGTTTTAATTTACTACCTAATATTTTCATTTTATCCAGTAAAAAGTCAGAAAAAATTGATTTAAGTGTAAAAAATATATTCAATTTATTTTAGCGGTCTGGCTTTTCTATCATTTGGTTATAAATATAGTCCGCAAAAATTGCTTATTTGTTGTATTTGAAGCTGAAAGAGTAAATTGGTACCGACTGCACCGGAGAAAAACTACAAGTATTGGCCTTTCTTAAAACCAAAGATCTACACACAGCCGATAGACTATATAAGTATTGTTTGTTGGGAAAAGTAGCTTTATTATGTGAATTATTTCCCGCGCCATTTTCTCGGGCCAGCATACTCAATGAGCAAACTATCTAAAATGATAATTTGCTTCAACATCCCCCCATAAAAAAAGTCGAATCATCCAGACTTATTTCATGCTTTTTATGTAATTTTATTGCTTATTCTTGCAACTACAGTATGAGTTGGATTGTTCATGCACTATGAGAGAGTCATAGAGGTAACTAAAACACATAATTATGATTTTGTCCGCTAAAAACATAAAAGAAGAATTCAGTGATTTAAATATTCAATCAATAAACTTCTTTAAAATAGTTGATTGCAAATAGGTTTGTCCATTAAAATTTTGAACGCTTTAATAAGAAAACAAAAATAACCATCTTGTAGGCTTATCAATACATTTCAAAATAGCTGAAGATGTTTGCGCAAATAATATACGGAGCTGCCTGCGAGAGGCCGTATAAAAATCTTCGTTGTCATATTCAGTTTGCTTGTTTTTAGACATGCAATCATTTTATAAAATTTTGTGAACCATTTAATTTAAAGATACGTTTTACTACTTCTAGAGCTGTGAATAAACACGAAGACATTACGTAGGCCTAACATCGGGCCTTCACATCACCGAGCGTATCAACTAAAATCAACTCTCTTTTAATATTTCGTTTTCTGTCAAAAACTCACTAAATGTGCTAATTTACACAATTTTCTGTTACCTCAGGCTCATATAAAGAGACAAATTAAGCACTTACTAGAATAACAAATTGTTTTGAATTCGTACCCTTGTTGATCTTTGTTCTACCATGCGCGCGGGCGCATAACGCATTTTAAAAAGAGAGAAAGAGAAAAAGATAGAGAGAGACTGTCTTCATATTCTGGTAGAACGCTCACGCGTGTAATAATAATAATAATAATAAGGGGTGATATATATATATATATATATAATCTCTAAACATTGCTCTGCTGCGTCAAATGTCATTACAACTCAAATTGAGGTACCGGAAAAAACATTACCCACAATGCATTTGCAGTAATGGTCACGAAGGGATTAGAAGCAGTGCCATGCCCGCGCGAAGCGTGTTATGAAGATGCTTAACAGTAGATTCAAGCAAATATTGAACGCATAGAGAGCCCTCATACTGCTATATGAGGAGACACGCCAAACTGGAGTCTGGAGTGAAACAATTGAACCTCGACACAGCGCAATATTGAGCTAGTATGGTAGGTTGTCGTTTAGAAAAAGCGCTACTTTCGAGTAGGAGGTCTGCTATCAAGAATGTATTACAATTATGGTGATGATTTATGCTGGTACGTGAAGGGGCCGTAGCAATAGTCCGAAGGTTCAATAGTCCGAAGGTTCATTGGTCCGAATATTCACTATAGAACCTTCGGACCAATGAACCCTTGATTAAAAAATCGATGAAAATTACGTAATTTCCACTCATTGAGCACAGTTCGTTAAATATAGTCAGATTTTCTGAACAGCAACTCTGACACATACGGCAGGTGTGCCTTTGTACAGCCTGTGCTAGGTATATCAGAAAACTTTTCAAACTGATCAGAAATTTATTATACTTATATCTTCTGAAAGGTAATACAAAAAACAGATGAATTCTTTTGGCACTTTTAAAATATTCCTAAAAGCAACAAAGATATTGAAGTTTTTTAACTGCAAAAATTCACCAAAAGTGTCCACACTCTTTTGCATATTATAATGTAATTAACATATCTCCCATAATGCATTGTTCTCTCTCTACCAGTTAGCCAGCATGGCTGGATGTGTTATGTAATAAATGAGTTATTAAAAAATGTTAACTTGAGTTACATAACAACAGAAAAACTACGACATGGTGTCAGAATCGGGATCTACATTGGATGTAGCATAATTTGGAGATTGGATGACCCACAAACTACAAGATAAAAACGGATTTANCAGCTAAAAACCTGTAACTACTGACCAGCGGTGATCACTCAGCTGTAGCTGCAGCTCAAATTGCTTGTGACCAATTAGGGCTGTATGTTAATCTAATGACCCGGAAACAAACCCAAATTGGCGACCGCACAAGCACATGGCTGGGATGGCTTCCGTGCAGATCATGTACTATAAATATTGCGCATCAAATAAACTATACTTCGCATGGTTCAATTTTCATGATTTTTCGGCATAATATTTATTGCAAATTTCATGAACTTTACATCACGCTTGGCTGTCACCTTGATTGGATAGTAAACGATTGTCGTAAAATCGCTAAATGATATCAAAATCGGGTACATAAACTTAAAAACCACCTAGGACAACCTAAGACTGCCACATTAATCCAATACAATGCAAAAATAAACTATAACAAGTGGTTAAAGCCTTCAAAACGAATGTCGTAAAGTCCCCATATACCTCCATAGAGACAATAAAATAGAAGAAGCTTGTGAAACAAGACTCGGCCAACTTAAACATAATAATCGAAATAAAATACTGCCGGGCATCGGAGCGGCCTAAAACTTGGCACGCTTACCGAAATACTGCAGGCTACATCATCCCGTCGCTCGTTTGTAAATTCCCTGCATGGCATACGCACAATCAAACCGTATATCCAAATTGCACCTCTGATGTTTGAATTGGTCCTCTCTAACCTACCATTACGAAAAAGAAGCCATGCCATTGGACAATGCGACCTCTGCGGTTACGTCACTTCCTGATTTGAATAGTGTAGAGGACCAATTCAAACGAGTCTTGTTTCACAAGCTTCTTCTATTTTATTGTCTCTATGGAGGTATATGTACCCGATTTTAATATCATTTAGCGATTTTACGACAGTCGTTTACTATCCAATCAAGGTGACAGCCGAGCGTGCTTTACATGGCATAAATTACAAAAACTTCCATGCACTACTTATCTGAAATTTTTAACATTTTGTCGAGGCAAAACTTAAAAACGTCCTCAAATCAAAGTTCTCTAAGACTGCAACACGGGAAAATCAAATGGCCAGAATTTACTCTTTGATTTACAGCTTATCTAGTAAATGGCTTGTATTTGTTTATTTACACGGCGCTAAAAGAGAGATTTAAAAAAGGGGTGCCATAGGCTAGCTGTCAGCAGGCCGATATCAGTTTTACACTTCACTGCCCCTGGATAGTTACTACTGTAGCGCCCCTAGCGGATTGTGATATACCTACCTGTGCCATTCGTCCCAAAAACTAACCCTCACCTGTACTAATCACATGGGACCTAGGGCTTCTATTCCCAGGACTACCAGTCCTGCCACACTAGACCCATATACTGGATGTGGTAGCTCTGTTATTTGCTATATTTGTTTTATATACTTTACTGTATCTGTTGAATTTTTGCCACACATTTCATCTTGCTGCACCTAAGTGTAATGCCTATTTATAATGACAAAACCATACATACTTATATAGTCATGGATAATCAATAATTTGGAGTGCTTTAAATTGCCATTATCATATTTGGTACAATGAATTCATGAAGTCCACATTTTATAAATATTAATCAATATTATTACCTTTTTAGCTTCTATGTAAACATCTCTCTTTTTTCAATAATTTCAGTGATATATTGGCTTTAAATGCTTAGAAAATTAATGGATTCCAGTCAAGCTAACGGTACAGCTGATGCCACCTGCTGGAGTAGAAGAAACTCTGTGTCCATAACACTTAATTAGGTGAGTGTCACAGAGAAAAATGCAATAAACATACCTACCCCCCCCCCCCCCGCCTCTATGGAGAGCATAACTCAGCAATTTAACCAGCAGAGAATTTTATATTTGATCACATGATCTCTGTCCAAATGCCATGCATCACAAGTAGGAAAACATTTTTAATCTCTGTAGAAGCAATTTACTTTTTTATCATCATCATACAAGCGACAATGTAATACTGATTTTACTGGACTGTATTAGAAGTGTATACAACCCCCCCCCCCCTCCCCCCTCCACATGCCTTATAATAACCCCCATTGTTCAGTTGCACACAGGTTTACAGGGTAATTTTACTTGAAATAGGTAGCAACTACAAAATACTCTTCATCTGTTTTAACAGTTTAGGCTAATAACAACATATTAAATTAACTTTTGGGAAACTATATGGTGGCAGATTTTATGTTGCAGATGTTAAAGTGTATTAATCAGTATAGTGAAATTTTAATTTATCTGCATAAGGTTCAGTACAGAGTAGAGTTGGAGGTCTTCCAGTTTTATCTGGATATTTAGGTGTAGTATTTACTATTTATTACCAGTATGTGCTTCAGACCTCCCGCCCAATACATTTTGTGGGTATTTTTGTCAGGTGTACTTTCACATCTGAGAAATTGCATTTCAATCATGACTTAAAACATGTGTGTAATATCTATTTCAGTTGCTGAGAAAGGGAGCAAGATTGTTAATATCACAATGGAAAGCACGGAGCCCCAAGATACCCCCAAGTTCATCTCAGTCGAGAACATGAATGCTGACATTAACACCATGGGCCAGCAATTGCTGACCAGCCATTCAGACCCTACAGGTGGTCATGATGGCTCAGAAACATCGAGCTTTACTTCAGAGGTCAACCGTTTGCTGGAGTCGGAGCCATTTCTTCCAGATGCTGAGACAGGGCAGACATTTGTTGAAAGAGCTATGGAGCCCCAGGACTTTCCAATGTCCATATCAATGTCTGAGAATGTGGCCAGTGGCCTGCCACAGCTGACCAGCCATTTAAACCCCCCAGATGACCTCGATAGGTCAGAAACATTAAGCACATATTCGGAAGTCAACCGCGTGATGGAATTAGAGACCAACCTCTTAGGAAACGATTCCGAAAATCATGCCAGTAATGCTAACATTGTGCCTATGTACATGACTGTGGCAGGAAACTACTGTGGCGAGACAGAGCAGGTGGAGGCTGTATCTGTTGACTTGATTAAAAGGGAGCCTGCTTTGCTTTCCTGTGAGGATGACCCCTTCATGGGAGCCACCGTAACCAATGTTACAGGTACTAGTAATAAGTTGATAAAATCTGTGAATTGAATGGGAAAATTATTCACAGAACCTTCTTAAAGTTAGAACAGTGCTAAATGCAGAAATAAAAATCATTTATATTATTTTTTACTACTTTTAAGATTAATGATTGCCAATATTGAACACTTTAAAAATTCTGGAGAAAAAACTCTTCTTTCAAGCATAAAAAAGCACAGAATTGTGTTACAATCTTCTTGTCTTATATCGCTGTTACCTTATGGAGAAGTTGAGTTTTGCGCTTGTTTTTACCAGCAGTTTTACTACTTTTGTACTACTTTTTATGTACAGACACAGATGTGTCTGTACATATAGCCATCATCTGCGTCTGTCGTCGGTGCCGTCGTCGCCGTCGTGCACTTTTACCGATAACACGATAAGTGGAAAACTGTTTTTCCTTTTGGCTTGAAACTTTCAGAACTGATGAATATTCATAATACGCAGGTCAAGTTCGAAAATCAGCATGATCGGGCCATTTTTAGGGAAGTTATACTGTTTTTTCACTTTTTTCAGCATATATGCAGCACCGATAACACGATAAGTGGAAAACCATTTTACTTTTTTGATTGAAACTTACAAAACTGATGAATATTCATAATACGCAGGTCAAGTTCGAAAATCAGCATGATCGGGTCATTTTTAGGGAAGTTACGCTGTTTTTTCACTTTTTTCAACATATATGCAACACTGATAACACAATATAAGAAAAACAGATAGGCCAATTGTCATTAAACTCACAGGAGTGGTCAATCCTGCTAAAACGCAGGTTGAGTTCAAAAAATCAGCATAATTGGGCCATTATTTTAGAAGTTATGTTGTTTTTTCACATTTCCTCAGATTCAATTCTTAGGCATGTTAACAGTTTCATTATTTAATTAATAAGATATTAAAAGTGTTTGTTTGACATTTCCTGCATCTTTACAACATTGTTAGTTGATTTTGTAAAAATGATGGTTATTTTGTTATCATGTATTGTGTAATAAAGTTTCAAAAATGGAAATAAACTCATATCATTGCAGTTTGTCAGATTCAATCATTCACTATGTTCAGAATCTCAGAATGGAGGAAATTGGACATTTAACACTGTTCTATTGATATTTTTCCCATCTCATCAATTTTCTTAGTTGGTCATATAAAAATGGCAGTAAAATATTTATTTTGTTTTATGTTTAAAAAGTGTTAAAAATGGAAATAAACCCATTTCAGAACAGTGCTGTCTTGTTTACATTTTGGCATTTTTAAGACATGACTTTGAAGTCCCATGAGCCTGCAGACCTTTGCTAGTCACATTTTCCGAATGTTCATGTTACTAATATTCTATTATGAAAACATTGATGGTCATTATGCTGTTAAACATTATGTAATATTGCATCAAAATTTGAAGAAACCCCTATTTTGGGCACTGCT